CCAGACAGAACCTGAACAGAACCATACAGAACCTGAACAGAACCAAATAGAACCTGAACATATTTCTAAATTGCTATTTTGCACAATGTGCTTATCTAAGTATTTTTTCTTGTTAAATATTTTATTTTCTACACATTCATTGTTTAGATTTCTAGACCTTTTCTATCATTTGCTTTTATTTGCTCCTTTATTCACTCTGGATTCTCATCACTTTAGTCTGGGTCCCTGGAGCATCCAGTCCAGGTAGACCGGGTCCCTGGAGGACCCAGTCCAGGTAGACCGGGTCCCTGGAGCATCCAGTCCCTGGAGGATCCAGTCCAGGTAGACCGGGTCCCTGGAGCATCCAGTCCAGGTAAACTGGGTCATTGGAGGACCCAGTCCAGGTAGACCGGGTCCCTGGAGCATCCAGTCCAGGTAGACCGGGTCCCTAGAGGGCCCAGTCCAGGTAGACCAGGTCCCTGGACCATCCAGTCCAGGTAGACCGGGTCCCTGGAGCATCCAGTCCAGGTAAACTGGGTCCTTGGAGGACCCAGTCCAGGTAGACCGGGTCCCTGGATCCCTGGAGCATCCAGTCCAGGTAAACTGGGTCATTGGGGGACCCAGTGACCCAGTCCAGGTAGACCGGGTCCCTGGAGCATCCAGTCCCTGGAGGATCCAGTCCAGGTAGACCGGGTCCCTGGAGCATCCAGTCCAGGTAAACTGGGTCATTGGAGGACCCAGTCCAGGTAGACCGGGTCCCTGGAGCATCCAGTCCAGGTAGACCGGGTCCCTAGAGGACCCAGTCCAGGTAGACCAGGTCCCTGGACCATCCAGTCCAGGTAGACCGGGTCCCTGGAGCATCCAGTCCAGGTAAACTGGGTCCTTGGAGGACCCAGTCCAGGTAGACCGGGTCCCTGGATCCCTGGAGCATCCAGTCCAGGTAAACTGGGTCATTGGGGGACCCAGTCCAGGTAGACCGGGTCCCTGGAGCATCCAGTCCAGGTAGACCGGGTCCCTAGAGGACCCAGTCCAGGTAGACCAGGACCCTGGACCATCCAGTCCAGGTAGGCCGGGTCCCTGGAGCATCCAGTCCAGGTAGACCGGGTCCCTGGAGCATCCAGTCCAGGTAGACCGGGTCCCTAGAGGACCCAGTCCAGGTAGACCAGGTCCCTGGACCATCCAGTCCAGGTAGGCCGGGTCCCTGGAGCATCCAGTCCAGGTAGACCGGGTCCCTAGAGGACCCAGTCCAGGTAGACCGGGTCCCTGGATCCCTGGAGCATCCAGTCCAGGTAAACTGGGTCATTGGAGGACCCAGTCCAGGTAGACCGGGTCCCTGGAGGACCCAGTCCAGGTAGACCGGGTCCCTGGAGGACCCAGTCCAGGTAGACCGGGTCCCTGGACCAAACAGTCCAGGTAGACAGGGTCCCTGGACCATCCAGTCCAGGTAAACTGGGTCCTTGGAGGACCCAGTCCAGGTAGACCGGGTCCCTGGAGCATCCAGTCCAGGTAGACCGGATCCCTGGAGCATCCAGTCCAGGTAAACTGGGTCATTGGAGGACCCAGTCCAGGTAGACCGGGTCCCTGGAGGACCCAGTCCAGGTAGACCGGGTCCCTGGAGGACCCAGTCCAGGTAGACCGGGTCCCTGGACCAAACAGTCCAGGTAGACAGGGTCCCTGGACCAAACAGTCCAGGTAGACAGGGTCCCTGGACCATCCAGTCCAGGTAGACCGGGTCCCTGGAGGACCCAGTCCAGGTAGACCGGGTCCCTGGAGCATCCAGTCCCTGGAGGATCCAGTCCAGGTAGACCGGGTCCCTGGAGCATCCAGTCCAGGTAGACCGGGTCCCTAGAGGACCCAGTCCAGGTAGACCAGGTCCCTGGACCATCCAGTCCAGGTAGACCGGGTCCCTGGAGCATCCAGTCCAGGTAAACTGGGTCCTTGGAGGACCCAGTCCAGGTAGACCGGGTCCCTGGATCCCTGGAGCATCCAGTCCAGGTAAACTGGGTCATTGGAGGACCCAGTCCAGGTAGACCGGGTCCCTGGAGCATCCAGTCCAGGTAGACCGGGTCCCTAGAGGACCCAGTCCAGGTAGACCAGGTCCCTGGACCATCCAGTCCAGGTAGGCCGGGTCCCTGGAGCATCCAGTCCAGGTAGACCGGGTCCCTGGAGCATCCAGTCCAGGTAGACCGGGTCCCTAGAGGACCCAGTCCAGGTAGACCAGGTCCCTGGACCATCCAGTCCAGGTAGGCCGGGTCCCTGGAGCATCCAGTCCAGGTAGACCGGGTCCCTAGAGGACCCAGTCCAGGTAGGCCGGGTCCCTGGAGCATCCAGTCCAGGTAGACCGGGTCCCTAGAGGACCCAGTCCAGGTAGACCGGGTCCCTGGATCCCTGGAGCATCCAGTCCAGGTAAACTGGGTCATTGGAGGACCCAGTCCAGGTAGACCGGGTCCCTGGAGGACCCAGTCCAGGTAGACCGGGTCCCTGGACCAAACAGTCCAGGTAGACAGGGTCCCTGGACCATCCAGTCCAGGTAAACTGGGTCCTTGGAGGACCCAGTCCAGGTAGACCGGGTCCCTGGAGCATCCAGTCCAGGTAGACCGGGTCCCTGGAGCATCCAGTCCAGGCAGACCGGATCCCTGGAGGACCCAGTCCAGGTAGACCGGGTCCCTGGAGCATCCAGTCCAGGCAGACCGGGTCCCTGGAGGACCCAGTCCAGGTAGACCGGGTCCCTGGAGCATCCAGTCCAGGTAGACCGGGTCCCTGGAGGACCCAGTCCAGGTAGACCAGGTCCCTGGAGCATCCAGTCCAGGTAGACCGGGTCCCTGGAGGACCCAGTCCAGGTAGACCAGGTCCCTGGAGCATCCAGTCCTGGATCCCTGGAGCATCCAGTCCAGGTAAACTGGGTCATTGGAGGACCCAGTCCAGGTACGGCTCCTCTGTGCAGGGACGGCTCCTCTGCTCCAGCAGCTGCTACCAGCTCCAACATGTCTGACCAGAGGACTCACTGCTCCCAGCTGCACCACTCACTGGTTCTACTGGTTAGATTGGGATCTAGACAGTGCCTCCCTACATGTAACAGCTATGACCGAATCAACATGTATGACCGAGTCCCACTGGAGCCACAGCCCACAGCTAGCAGAGAATAACAGAAGACTAGGAGAGGCTAACAGGGACTACCAGGGGCTAACAGAGACTAGAAGGGGCTAACAGAGGCTAGCAGAGGCTAACAGAGACTAGCAGGTGCTAACAGAGACTAGGAGAGGCTAACAGGGGCTAACAGAGACTAGGAGGGTCTAACAGAGACTAGAAGGGGCTAACAGAGAATATCAGGTGCTAACAGAGAGTAGGAGAGGCTAACAGAGACTACCAGGGGCTAACAGGGACTACCAGGGGCTAACAGGGACTACCAGGGGCTAACAGAGACTAGCAGGGGCTAACGGTGACTAGCAGAGGCTAACAGTGACTAGCAGGGGCTAACAGTGACTGACAGGGCCTAGCATAGGCTAGCAGGAGCTAACAGAGGCTAGCTGGAGCTCCATGGAGGTGGCAGCGTCCTCCAGGCTATTAGCTGCTGTGCTAGCAGTGCTAGCGGAGCCAGCTGCAGCTGTCCTTCCCACTGACTGTCACCAGAACACCGGACTCTTCCTGGACTTCATGCCCGGGTTAGAACCTGACAGCGGCAGACATGTTACCTCATAGCTCAGTAGCGGCGATAGCTCCACTCTGCGAATCACCCAAGGCCGCTGACAGTCCGACTACAGCGGGGAAACAGTGGTCGATGAGCCGGTTCATTCCTCCACACAGCCCGCAGACTCCATCACCACAGAGTCCCCGATACGCGCCACAGCGACACCCAGCGGCGGCTTTCCTCAGTTCAAGAAAAAAACCCAGTTAGAACCGGTTAACCTACACCGGGTTAGAGCACCGATTAGAGGGAGAACCTTCAACTATCATCCACCTGTCAGGGGCCACACTCACCACCCTCTGTGTCAGGGGCCACAGTAATCACCCTCTGTGTCAGGGGCCACACTCACCACCCTCTGTGTCAGGGGCCACAGTCACCACCCTCTGTGTCAGGGGCCACAGTAATCACCCCCTGTGTCAGGGGCCACAGTCAACACCCTCTGTGTCAGGGGCCACAGTCACCACCCTCTGTGTCAGGGGCCACAGTCACCACCCTCTGTGTCAGGGGCCACAGTAATCACCCCCTGTGTCAGGGGCCACAGTCAACACCCTCTGTGTCAGGGGCCACAGTCACCACCCTCTGGGTCAGGGGCCACAGTCACCACCCTCTGTGTCAGGGGCCACAGTAATTACCCTCTGGATCAGGGGCCACAGTCACCACCCTCTGTGTCAGGGGCCACAGTAATCACCCTCTGAGTCAGGGGCCACAGTCACCACCCTCTGTGTCAGGGGCCACAGTAATCACCCTCTGGGTCAGGGGCCACAGTCACCACCCTCTGGATCAGGGGCCACAGTCACCGACCTCTGGATCAGGGGCCACAGTCACCACCCTCTGTGTCAGGGGCCACAGTAATTACCCTCTGGATCAGGGGCCACAGTCACCACCCTCTGGATCAGGGGCCACAGTAATTACCCTCTGGATCAGGGGCCACAGTCACCACCCTCTGTGTCAGGGGCCACAGTAATCACCCTCTGAGTCAGGGGCCACAGTCACCACCCTCTGTGTCAGGGGCCACAGTAATCACCCTCTGGGTCAGGGGCCACAGTCACCACCCTCTGGATCAGGGGCCACAGTCACCACCCTCTGGGTCAGGGGCCACAGACACCACCCTCTGTGTCAGCGGCCACAGTAATTACCCTGTGGGTCAGGGGCCACAGTCACCACCCTCTGTGTCAGCGGCCACAGTAATTACCCTGTGGGTCAGGGGCCACAGTAATTACCCTCTGGGTCAGGGGCCACAGTGATTGTGTGACGGGCCAGAATGTAGGCAGGTTCTGACGAGCGCGTAGGTTGACCTGACCAATATGGCGGCTGTCGGGACCATAGATATCCATAATAATTATGGATATCTATGGTCGGGACTGTCAGGGCGGAAGCTGGCTCTGTTTTTCTTCCATCCTGCAGGCGGCGCTGTGATCTAAAACCTTTAGAAACCCAAGAAGAAGAAGTTCAGGAAACATGTCTGCGGCGCTGGATGGTTACGGAACGCTGGTATCGGACTGGTTCCGTGTTTAGGTTCTGCTGCAGCCTCAGTCCAATGGCCCTCCGGTACCTTCAGCTGCCGGCGGCCTGTAGGGCCCTGGTCCGCTTCGCCCTGCGGACCTCCGGAGCTCCCAGGAGGACGGTAGGTAGTAACCAGGACAACAGGCTCACCTTGACCGGTCCGGTTCTGAATCAGAACCAGAACCCAGCATAAGCTATCAGGAAGGGCAGGTTTTCCTCCCATAATGAAAAATATGACGTCACAGCTAGGTTTACAGATGACACCTTGATGACGCAACCTAAAGAGTCAGAACTGGACCTCCCAGGTTCCTGTAGTCCTGGTCAGAACAGTCCTGTCGGTCCCAGAACGTCTGATAATTGACTGGCATTCAGAACCAGGAGAACTTTCTGGACTGAAGGTTCTCCTGGTTCTGAATGCCATAAGGTTCTGAAAGGTTCTGGAAGGTGACCCGCTGCCTCTTTATGTTGCCCAGGTGATGTGTTCATCCCATGGAGACCCGCTGGAGACTGGACCGAGCCTGCTGAGCGAGCTGCTGGGAGCCCACAGGACGCTGAGCTCCAGACCGCCCAAAGGTGGGTCAGAACCAGGAACCGCCCAAAGGTGGGTCAGAACCAGGAACCGCCCAAAGGTGGATCAGAACCAAGAACTGCCCAAAGGTGGGTCAGAACCAAGAACAGCCCAAAGGTGGGTCAGAACCAAGAACAGCCCAAAGGTGGGTCAGAACCAATAACCGCCCAAAGGTGGGTCAGAACCAATAACCGCCCAAAGGTGGGTCAGAACCAGGAACCGCCCAAAGGTGGGTCAGAACCAAGAACCGCCCAAAGGTGGGTCAGAACCAGGAACCGCCCAAAGGTGGGTCAAAACCAGGAACCGCCCAAAGGTGGGTCAGAACCAATAACCGCCCAAAGGTGGGTCAGAACCAGGAACTGCCCAAAGGTGGGTCAGAACCAGAAACCGCCCAAAGGTGGGTCAGAACCAGGAACCCCCCAAAGGTGGGTCAGAACCAGGAACCGCCCAAAGGTGGGTCAGAACCAGGAACCGCCCAAAGGTGGGTCAGAACCAATAACCGCCCAAAGGTGGGTCAGAACCAGGAACCGCCCAAAGGTGGATCAGAACCAAGAACTGCCCAAAGGTGGGTCAGAACCACGAACTGCCCAAAGGTGGGTCTGAACCAGGAACCGCCCAAAGGTGGGTCAGAACCAGGAACCGCCCAAAGGTGGGTCAGAACCAGGAACCGCCCAAAGGTGGGTCAGAACCAGGAACCGCCCAAAGGTGGGTCAGAACCAGGAACCGCCCAAAGGTGGGTCAGAACCAAGAACTGCCCAAAGGTGGGTCAGAACCAAGAACAGCCCAAAGCAGACCAAGAACAGCCCAAAGGTGGGTCAGAACCAAGAACAGCCCAAAGGTGGGTCAGAACCAAGAACTGCCCAAAGGTGGGTCAGAACCAAGAACAGCCCAAAGGTGGGTCAGAACCAAGAACAGCCCAAAGGTGGGTCAGAACCAAGAACAGCCCAAAGGTGGGTCAGAACCAAGAATCGCCCAAAGGTGGGTCAGAACCAAGAACAGCCCAAAGGTGGGTCAGAACCAAGAACAGCCCAAAGGTGGGTCAGAACCAAGAACTGCCCAAAGGTGGGTCAGAACCAAGAACTGCCCAAAGGTGGGTCAGAACCAAGAACTGCCCAAAGGTGGGTCAGAACCAAGAACCGCCCAAAGGTGGGTCAGAACCAAGAACCGCCCAAAGGTGGGTCAGAACCAAGAACAGCCCAAAGGTGGGTCAGAACCAAGAACTGCCCAAAGGTGGGTCAGAACCAGGAACCGCCCAAAGGTGGGTCAGAACCAAGAACAGCCCAAAGGTGGGTCAGAACCAAGAACAGCCCAAAGGTGGGTCAGAACCAAGAACAGCCCAAAGGTGGGTCAGAACCAAGAACAGCCCAAAGGTGGGTCAGAACCAAGAACAGCCCAAAGGTGGGTCAGAACCAAGAACTGCCCAAAGGTGGGTCAGAACCAAGAACTGCCCAAAGGTGGGTCAGAACCAAGAACTGCCCAAAGGTGGGTCAGAACCAAGAACAGCCCAAAGGTGGGTCAGAACCAAGAACAGCCCAAAGGTGGGTCAGAACCAAGAACTGCCCAAAGGTGGGTCAGAACCAAGAACTGCCCAAAGGTGGGTCAGAACCAAGAACTGCCCAAAGGTGGGTCAGAACCAAGAACAGCCCAAAGGTGGGTCAGAACCAAGAACTGCCCAAAGGTGGGTCAGAACCAAGAACTGCCCAAAGGTGGGTCAGAACCAAGAACTGCCCAAAGGATAATTCTCCCATAGTAGCTCCGCCCACCGCGCATCAGACCCACTTTTCCAACGCAGAACTAAACTGGTACAAACATCAAAAATGAAGCAGCAGATGCGTTTTTGCTGCTCCTGCTGCGCTTGGTATGAACGCAGCTTCACTGTTCCCCTGACCACAGTCATCACCATGGCGACCTTCTCACACTGTCATCACCATGGCAATGACCCGCCCCACGCGGTTCCACAGACTAACGCTTTTTTCTCTCTTCAGGATTTGAGAAATACTTCCCAGAAGGTCAGAAAGCGAGCAGAACGACTGAGTCAGACTCTGCAGCCAAAGGTAAACCAGCCGCCACCAGAACCAGAACCAGACCCAGTCTGAGCATGCTCAGTGCGATCAGGAGAACCAGAACCAGGCTGGAGGACCTGGTTCCTGCCTTGGTGGATCACAACCATCTGGGTTCATCCTGATGCTCTAAACTGAGCATGCTCCAAACACGCTAGCTGATGCTCCAGGTTCTGATCCATTCCAGAATCCAAGGCTGCCAACGCTCAGAAACCCTCTGGGAGGTCTGGAGGCGGGGCGGACGGCGGGTCCGGAGGAGGGTCGGGAGGCGGAGGGAAGAGAGGAGGTCGCAAGGAGGAGTCCCACTGGTACAGCCGCCTGCAGAAGGTGAGTACCTGCTGGCTGTAGGTCGCCCAGCCTGACGCGCCCCCACTCAGCTGCTGCCTCTTTCAGGGTGACGTTCCCTGGGATGACAAGGAGTTCCGCATGTACCTGCTGAGCGGCGTGGCCTTCTGGACCGCCGTCACCTACTACTTCTTCCTGCGTGATGGAGGACGGGAGGTTACCTGGAAGGACTTTGTCAACAACTACCTGTCCAAGGGAGTGGTAAGACGCCACAGCGGTTCCCTCGCCCCGCCCACCAGCGTTCTGTCAGGGCTCTGATTGCCGGTTTGTCTCCGTCAGGTGGACCGGCTGGACGTGGTCAACAAGCGTTACGTCAAAGTGGTCTTCTCTCCTGGGAAGACGCCGTTGGACGGGGTGCGTTTGAGGGGTGGGCTAAGATGCCAGGTGGGCTACCTGTCTCTGACTCGCGTGTTTCCTCCTGCAGCAGTACGTCTGGTTCAACATCGGCAGCGTGGACACCTTCGAGAGGAACCTGGAGACGGCTCAGAGCGAGCTAGGCATCGAGAGCGAGAACCGCCTGCCCGTAGTCTACTCCACTGAGAGCGACGGGTGAGCAGCGGAGCCGCCGTGGAGCCGCCGCGGCGTCCGGCCGGGCCTGACGCCCTCTGTCTTTGTCCTGCAGAACGTTCCTGCTCAGCATGCTGCCCACCGTCCTCATCATCGGCTTCCTGCTCTTCATGCTGCGGCGCGGCCCAGCGGGGGCCGGCCGCCCTGGCAGGGGAATGGGGGGGCTGTTCAGCGTCAGCGAGACCACGGCCAAGATCCTGAAGGACGAGATCGATGTGAAGTTCAAAGATGTGGCCGGCTGCGAGGAAGCCAAGCTGGAGATCATGGAGTTCGTCAACTTCCTGAAGAACCCCAAACAGTACCAGGACCTGGGGGCAAAGATCCCCAAGGTGAGGCTGAACAGGTCCGCCATGGGTCGGTCCGCATGGCGGGGCAGAGGTGTCGGTCCACCCGGCCCTCGGCGACCATCTCAGTGGCCTGTCCTGTCCTGTGTCTCTGCAGGGGGCCATTCTGACGGGGCCCCCAGGAACAGGGAAGACTCTGCTGGCCAAAGCGACGGCGGGCGAGGCCAACGTTCCCTTCATCACAGTCAACGGCTCCGAGTTCCTGGAGATGTTTGTGGGCGTGGGCCCCGCCAGGGTGAGCATCTGATGGAGGAGGAAGATGATGATGATGGCGGCGGCGGCGCTGATATCTGTCTCCTACAGGTCCGTGATCTATTTGTCATGGCCAGGAAGAACGCTCCCTGCATCCTCTTCATAGACGAGATCGACGCGGTGGGACGGAAGCGCGGCCGGGGGAACTTTGGCGGCCAGAGCGAGCAGGAGAACACCCTGAACCAGCTGCTGGTGGAGATGGACGGTGGGTTCCTCTCTACATCCGCCTGCTGAGGACTGACGCTGCCCTCTGTCTGACCCATTAGAACCAGTCTGACCCATTAGAACCAGTCTGACCCATATGAACCAGTCTGACCCATATGAACCAGTATGACCTACTGGAACCAGTCTGACCCATTGGAACCAGTCTGACCCATTAGAACCAGTCTGACCCATACGAACCAGTCTGACCCATTGGAACCAGTCTGACCCATTGGAACCAGTATGACCCATTGGAACCAGTCTGACCCATATGAACCAGTGTGACCTACTGGAACCAGTATGACCCATTGGAACCAGTATGACCCATTGGAACCAGTCTGACCCATTAGAACCAGTCTGACCCATTAGAACCAGTCTGAACCATTAGGACCAGTCTGACCCATTGGGACCAGTCTGACCCATTTGAACCAGTCTGACCCATACGGACCAGTCTGACCCATTGGAACCAGTCTGACCCATTAGAACCAGTCTGAACCATTAGAACCAGTCTGACCCATTAGAACCAGTCTGACCCATTGGAACCAGTATGACCCATTGGAACCAGTCTGAACCATTAGAACCAGTCTGACCCATTGGAACCAGTATGACCCATTGGAACCAGTCTGACCCATTAGAACCAGTATGACCCATTGGAACCAGTCTGACCCATTAGAACCAGTCTGACCCATTAGAACCAGTCTGACCCATATGAACCAGTATGACCTACTGGAACCAGTATGACCCAATAGAACCAGTCTGACCCATATGAACCACTATGACCCATTAGAACCAGCCTGACCCATTAGAACCAGTATGACCTACTGGAACCAGTCTGACCCATTGGAACCAGTATGACCCATACGAACCAGTCTGACCCATTAGAACCAGTCTGACCCATACGAACCAGTATGACCTACTGGAACCAGTCTGACCCATTGGAACCAGTATGACCCATTGGAACCAGTCTGACCCATTGGAACCAGTCTGATCTATTAGGACCAGTCTGACCCATTAGAACCAGTCTGACCCATTGGAACCAGTCTGACCCATTGGAACCAGTCTGACCCATTGGAACCAGTCTGACCCATATGAACCAGTGTGACCTACTGGAACCAGTATGACCCATTAGAACCAGCCTTACCCATTGGAACCAGTATGACCCATACGAACCAGTCTGACCCATTGGAACCAGTCTGACCCATTAGAACCAGTCTGATCCATTAGAACCAGTCTGACCCATACGAACCAGTATGACCCATTAGAACCAGTCTGACCCATTGGGACCAGTCTGACCCATATGAACCAGTATGACCCATTAGAACCAGTCTGACCCATATGAACCAGTCTCACCCATATGAACCAGTATGACCTACTGGAACCAGTATGACCCATTGGAACCAGTCTGACCCATTAGAACCAGTCTGACCCATATGAACCAGTATGACCTACTGGAACCAGTCTGACCCATTGGAACCAGTATGACCCATTGGAACCAGTCTGACCCATTGGAACCAGTATGACCCATTGGAACCAGTCTGATCTATTAGGACCAGTCTGACCCATTGGGACCAGTATGACCCATTGGGACCAGTCTGACCCATTAGAACCAGTATGACCCATTGGAACCAGTATGACCCATTGGAACCAGTCTGACCCATTAGAACCAGTCTGACCCATTGGGACCAGTATGACCCATTGGGACCAGTCTGACCCATTAGAACCAGTATGACCCATTGGAACCAGTCTGAACCATTAGAACCAGTCTGACCCATTGGAACCAGTATGACCCATTGGAACCAGTCTGACCCATTAGAACCAGTCTGACCCATATGAACCAGTGTGACCTACTGGAACCAGTATGACCCATTGGAACCAGTATGACCCATTGGAACCAGTCTGACCCATACGAACCAGTATGACCCATTAGAACCAGTCTGACCCATTTGAACCAGTATGACCCATTAGAACCAGTCTGACCCATATGAACCAGTATGACCTACTGGAACCAGTCTGACCCATTAGAACCAGTCTGACCCATATGAACCAGTATGACCTACTGGAACCAGTATGACCCATTAGAACCAGCCTGACCCATTGGGACCAGTATGACCCATTGGAACCAGTCTGACCCATTAGAACCAGTCTGACCCATACGAACCAGTATGACCCATTGGAACCAGTATGACCCATTAGAACCAGTCTGACCCATACGAACCAGTCTGACCCATACGAACCAGTATGACCTACTGGAACCAGTCTGACCCATTAGAACCAGTCTGACCCATTAGAACCAGTCTGAACCATTAGGACCAGTCTGACCCATTGGGACCAGTCTGACCCATTAGAACCAGTCTGACCCATTAGAACCAGTCTGACCCATATGAACCAGTATGACCTACTGGAACCAGTCTGACCCATTAGAACCAGTCTGACCCATTAGAACCAGTCTGAACCATTAGGACCAGTCTGACCCATTGGGACCAGTCTGACCCATTTGAACCAGTCTGACCCATACGGACCAGTCTGACCCATACGGACCAGTCTGACCCATTGGGACCAGTCTGACCCATTAGAACCAGTCTGACCCATTGGGACCAGTCTGACCCATTAGAACCAGTCTGACCGATACGGACCAGTCTGACCCATTAGAACCAGTCTGACCCATTAGAACCAGTCTGACCCATTGGAACCAGTCTGACCCATTAGAACCAGTCTGACCCATTGGAACCAGTCTGAACCATTAGGACCAGTCTGACCCATTGGGACCAGTCTGACCCATTAGAACCAGTCTGACCCATTAGAACCAGTCTGAACCATTAGGACCAGTCTGACCCATTGGGACCAGTCTGACCCATTAGAACCAGTGTGACCCATTAGAACCAGTCTGACCCATATGAACCAGTATGACCTACTGGAACCAGTCTGACCCATTGGAACCAGTCTGACCCATTGGAACCAGTCTGAACCATTAGGACCAGTCTGACCCATTGGGACCAGTCTGACCCATTAGAACCAGTCTGACCCATTAGAACCAGTCTGAACCATTAGGACCAGTCTGACCCATTGGGACCAGTCTGACCCATTAGAACCAGTCTGACCCATATGAACCAGTATGACCTACTGGAACCAGTCTGACCCATTAGAACCAGTCTGACCCATTAGAACCAGTCTGAACCATTAGGACCAGTCTGACCCATTGGGACCAGTCTGACCCATTTGAACCAGTCTGACCCATACGGACCAGTCTGACCCATTGGGACCAGTCTGACCCATTAGAACCAGTCTGACCCATTAGAACCAGTCTGAACCATTAGGACCAGTCTGACCCATTGGGACCAGTCTGACCCATTAGAACCAGTGTGACCCATTAGAACCAGTCTGACCCATATGAACCAGTATGACCTACTGGAACCAGTCTGACCCATTGGAACCAGTCTGACCCATTGGAACCAGTCTGAACCATTAGGACCAGTCTGACCCATTGGGACCAGTCTGACCCATTAGAACCAGTCTGACCCATTAGAACCAGTCTGAACCATTAGGACCAGTCTGACCCATTGGGACCAGTCTGACCCATTAGAACCAGTGTGACCCATTAGAACCAGTCTGACCCATATGAACCAGTATGACCTACTGGAACCAGTCTGACCCATTAGAACCAGTCTGACCCATTAGAACCAGTCTGAACCATTAGGACCAGTCTGACCCATTGGGACCAGTCTGACCCATTTGAACCAGTCTGACCCATACGGACCAGTCTGACCCATTAGAACCAGTCTGACCCATTAGAACCAGTCTGACCCATTAGAACCAGTCTGACCCATTGGGACCAGTCTGACCCATTAGAACCAGTCTGACCCATTAGAACCAGTCTGACCCATACGGACCAGTCTGACCCCTTAGAACCAGTCTGAACCATTAGGACCAGTCTGACCCATTGGGACCAGTCTGACCCATTTGAACCAGTCTGACCCATACGGACCAGTCTGACCCATTAGAACCAGTCTGACCCATTAGAACCAGTCTGACCCATTAGAACCAGTCTGACCCATTGGGACCAGTCTGACCCATTAGAACCAGTCTGACCCATTAGAACCAGTCTGACCCATACGGACCAGTCTGACCCCTTAGAACCAGTCTGAACCATTAGGACCAGTCTGACCCATTGGGACCAGTCTGACCCATTAGAACCAGTCTGACCCATACGGACCAGTCTGACCCATTGGAACCAGTCTGACCCATTGGGACCAGTCTGACCCATTAGAACCAGTCTGACCCATTGGAACCAGTCTGACCCATTAGAACCAGTCTGAGCCATTGGGACCAGTCTGACCCATTAGAACCAGTCTGAGCCATTGGGACCAGTCTGACCCATTGGGACCAGTCTGAGCCATTGGAACCAGTCTGAACCATTAGGACCAGTCTGAACCATTAGGACCAGTCTGACCCATTAGAACCAGTATGACCCATTGGGACCAGTTTGACCCATTGGGACCAGTCTGACCCATTAGAACCAGTCTGAACCATTAGGACCAGTCTGAACCATACGGACCAGTCTTACCCATATGAACCAGTCTGACCCATTGGAACCAGTCTGAGCCATTGGAACCAGTCTGACCCATTAGAACCAGTCTGAGCCATTGGAACCAGTCTGACCCATACGAACCAGTCTGAGCCATTGGAACCAGTCTGACCCATTAGAACCAGTCTGACCCATTACAACCAGTCTGACTGACTGCTCTCTGCCCTCAGGCTTTAACACCGCCACCAACGTGGTGGTTCTGGCCGGAACCAATCGACCCGACATCCTGGACCCGGCCCTGCTCAGACCCGGACGCTTCGACCGGCAGATCTACATCGGTGAGTTAAATGGACACGCCCACGCCGCCGTCAGGGACAGGAAGTGACCCAGCTCCGTTCTCCTGCAGGTCCCCCGGATATTAAAGGACGGGCGTCCATATTTAAGGTCCACCTGCGTCCCCTGAAGCTGGGCTCTGACCTGGACAAAGACGCTCTGGCTAAGAAGATGGCCGCCCTGACGCCCGGGTTCTCAGGTAGGTGGTGGGAGGGGCCAGCAGCCGGCCAGGTGAGCCAGGCGTCTGAGCCTTTGTCCTCTGTCGCTGTCTGACAGGCGCCGACATCGCCAACGTGTGCAACGAGGCGGCGCTGATCGCAGCGCGCCACCTGGCAGACACCATCAGCCAGAAGCACTTTGAGCAGGCCATCGAGAGAGTCATTGGAGGTGAGCGCGTTCCCGACCAGAACCAGGACCTGGCAAACCTGGGACCATAGAGTCCGGCAGCAGCTGTGTCAGAACCTCTGACCTCTTGCTGTTTGTGATGCAGGTCTGGAGAAGAAGACTCAGGTTCTGCAGCCGGAGGAGAAGAAGACGGTGGCGTACCACGAGGCGGGTCATGCTGTGGCCGGCTGGTTCCTGGAGCACGCCGACCCGCTGCTCAAGGTCTCTGTGACGGGTGGGCTGTGGTTCTGCAGGCTGAGGCCCGATGGCTGATGGTGTTCTGATCCGAGCAGGTGTCCATCATCCCGGGGGCTTAACCAGACCTCCGGACGTTGTAACCAGGGACGCTGCTACGTTGCAGACCGGGAACGTCCAGAACCTTCGCCGATCAACCGGCTGGGCCCCTAGAAGACCAGCGCCTACCCGGGGACCCCCGCCGTAGGAACTCCGGCTGTCCGTTAGCTCTCTGCAATCCGTTAGAACCAGGGCCATTTCGACCTTGCCCGGACGAGAGGTTCGGGAATTCCGAGGACCCGCCTGACCCGAGCCGAGCCTGATCCCGTCTACGAAAACCAGACTCTAACGAAGAACCGACAAAAGGTTAAAACAGGCTCTGTGGCGGCGTTCTGCCGGACTCTGATCCCGCCCGTTTAGCCATTTCCTAGAAGGGTTTCCATCTTTAAAACAAGAACAGGACCTCACACCTTCCTCTGGAACGGTTTAGAACCAAACCTCTGATCCGTTGAACCATCTGACCGTAGAACCTGACCTTCTGATCCGTTAAACCAGTCTGATCCGTAAAACCCAAATCTGATCCGTAGAACCAGGTCTGATCCGTTAAAACTGGACCAGATCTGATCCGTTAAACCAGTCTTACCCGTTGAACCAGACTTCTGACCGTAGGAACCAGTCGCCCGTTAAACCGGGACCGTCTGATCCGTTAGAACCAGTCTGATCCGTTAGAACCAGGACCTTCTGATCCGTTAGAACCAGTCTGATCCGTTAGAACCAGTCTGATCCGTTAGAACCAGGACCTTCTGATCCGTTAGAACCAGTCTGATCCGTTAGAACCAGGACCTTCTGATCCGTTAGAACCAGTCTGATCCGTTAGAACCAGGACCTTCTGATCCGTTAGAACCAGGACCCTTCTGATCCGTTAGAACCAGTCTGATCCGTTAGAACCAGGACCTTCTGATCCGTTAGAACCAGTCTGATCCGTTAGAACCAGTCTGATCCGTTAGAACCAGGACCTTCTGATCCGTTAGAACCAGTCTGATCCGTTAGAACCAGGACCTTCTGATCCGTTAGAACCAGTCTGATCCGTTAGAACCAGGACCTTCTGATCCGTTAGAACCAGGACCTTCTGATCCGTTAGAACCAGGACCTTCTGATCCGTTAGAACCAGTCTGATCCGTTAGAACCAGGACCTTCTGATCCGTTAGAACCAGGACCTTCTGATCCGTTAGAACCAGTCTGATCCGTTAGAACCAGGACCTTCTGATCCGTTAGAACCAGGACCTTCTGATCCGTTAGAACCAGTCTGATCCGTTAGAACCAGGACCTTCTGATCCGTTAGAACCAGTCTGATCCGTTAGAACCAGGACCTTCTGATCCGTTAGAACCAGTCTGATCCGTTAGAACCAGTCTGATCCGTTAGAACCAGTCTGATCCGTTAGAACCAGGACCTTCTGATCCGTTAGAACCAGGACCTTCTGATCCGTTAGAACCAGTCTGATCCGTTAGAACCAGGACCTTCTGATCCGTTAGAACCAGGACCTTCTGATCCGTTAGAACCAGGACCTTCTGATCCGTTAGAACCAGGACCTTCTGATCCGTTAGAACCAGTCTGATCCGTTAGAACCAGGACCCTCTGATCCGTTAGAACCAGGACCTTCTGATCCGTTAGAACCAGTCTGATCCGTTAGAACCAGGACCTTCTGATCCGTTAGAACCAGTCTGATCCGTTAGAACCAGGACCTTCTGATCCGTTAGAACCAGGACCTTCTGATCCGTTAGAACCAGGACCTTCTGATCCGTTAGAACCAGTCTGATCCGTTAGAACCAGGACCTTCTGATCCGTTAGAACCAGTCTGATCCGTTAGAACCAGTCTGATCCGTTAGAACCAGTCTGATCCGTTAGAACCAGGACCTTCTGATCCGTTAGAACCAGTCTGATCCGTTAGAACCAGGACCTTCTGATCCGTTAGAACCAGTCTGATCCATTAGAACCAGGACCTTCTGATCCGTTAGAACCAGGACCTTCTGATCCGTTAGAACCAGGACCTTCTGATCCGTTAGAACCAGTCTGATCCGTTAGAACCAGTCTGATCCGTTAGAACCAGGACCTTCTGATCCGTTAGAACCAGTCTGATCCGTTAGAACCAGTCTGATCCGTTAGAACCAGGACCTTCTGATCCGTTAGAACCAGTCTGATCCGTTAGAACCAGGACCTTCTGATCCGTTAGAACCAGGACCTTCTGATCCGTTAGAACCAGGACCCTTCTGATCCGTTAGAACCAGGACCTTCTGATCCGTTAGAACCAGGACCTTCTGATCCGTTAGAACCAGGACCTTCTGATCCGTTAGAACCAGGACCTTCTGATCCGTTAGAACCAGTCTGATCTGTTAGAACCAGGACCTTCTGATCCGTTAGAACCAGGACCTTCTGATCCGTTAGAACCAGGACCTTCTGATCCGTTAGAACCAGGACCTTCTGATCCGTTAGAACCAGTCTGATCCGTTAGAACCAGGACCTTCTGATCCGTTAGAACCAGGACCTTCTGATCCGTTAGAACCAGTCTGATCCGTTAGAACCAGGACCTTCTGATCCGTTAGAACCAGTCTGATCCGTTAGAACCAGGACCCTTCTGATCCGTTAGAACCAGGACCTTCTGATCCGTTAGAACCAGTCTGATCCGTTAGAACCAGGACCTTCTGATCCGTTAGAACCAGTCTGATCCGTTAGAACCAGGACCTTCTGATCCGTTAGAACCAGGACCTTCTGATCCGTTAGAACCAGTCTGATCCGTTAGAACCAGGACCTTCTGATCCGTTAGAACCAGTCTGATCCGTTAGAACCAGGACCTTCTGATCCGTTAGAACCAGTCTGATCCGTTAGAACCAGGACCTTCTGATCCGTTAGAACCAGGACCTTCTGATCCGTTAGAACCAGTCTGATCCGTTAGAACCAGGACCTTCTGATCCGTTAGAACCAGGACCCTTCTGATCCGTTAGAACCAGGACCTTCTGATCCGTTAGAACCAGTCTGATCCGTTAGAACCAGGACCTTCTGATCCGTTAGAACCAGGACCCTTCTGATCCGTTAGAACCAGGACCTTCTGATCCGTTAGAACCAGTCTGATCCGTTAGAACCAGGACCTTCTGATCCGTTAGAACCAGTCTGATCCGTTAGAACCAGGACCTTCTGATCCGTTAGAACCAGTCTGATCCGTTAGAACCAGGACCTTCTGATCCGTTAGAACCAGGACCTTCTGATCCGTTAGAACCAGTCTGATCCGTTAGAACCAGTCTGATCCGTTAGAACCAGGACCTTCTGATCCGTTAGAACCAGTCTGATCCGTTAGAACCAGGACCTTCTGATCCGTTAGAACCAGGACCTTCTGATCCGTTAGAACCAGTCTGATCCGTTAGAACCAGTCTGATCCGTTAGAACCAGGACCTTCTGATCCGTTAGAACCAGTCTGATCCGTTAGAACCAGGACCTTCTGATCCGTTAGAACCAGGACCTTCTGATCCGTTAGAACCAGTCTGATCCGTTAGAACCAGTCTGATCCGTTAGAACCAGGACCTTCTGATCCGTTAGAACCAGTCTGATCCGTTAGAACCAGGACCTTCTGATCCGTTAGAACCAGTCTGATCCGTTAGAACCAGGACCTTCTGATCCGTTAGAACCAGTCTGATCCGTTAGAACCAGGACCTTCTGATCCGTTAGAACCAGGACCTTCTGATCCGTTAGAACCAGGACCTTCTGATCCGTTAGAACCAGGACCCGTCTGATCCGTTAGAACCAGTCTGATCCATCAGAATAAGGACCGTCTGTCCTCTGACTCTGGGTCCGGTTCTGTCCTCTGACTCTGGGTCCGGTTCTGTCCTCTGACTCTGGGTCCGGTTCTATCCTCTGACTCTGGGTCCGGTTCTGTCCTTTAGGTGGCGCAGCGGCTTCTGGAGAAGGAGGTTCTGGACAAGAACGACATGGTGGAGCTGCTGGGACGACGGCCCTTTGCAGAGAAGTCCACCTACGAGGACTTTGTGGACGGAACCGGCGGCGAGGACGAGGACACCACGCTGCCCGCAGGCCTGAGGGACTGGAACCAGGACAGAACCGACCCGGACAAGGAAAGTCCGGAGGAACAGGTGGCCCGGCAGATCTCTGGAGGAATGCCCTTCTAGGTCCTTCTCACCCTGCCATCTCGCGCTTCCAGACTCTTCTGCCTCCAGAACCGGTTCTGCTGAGTTCTGACCCGCGGCGCCTGCAGGTTCTAAAGAACACATCAGAATCTGGAAAGCTAGGTTCTGTAGATGGTTCTCTTAGAACTGGAGCCAGAGGTTTGGACCACAGAACCGTTCTCTGGAATAAAAACTGAACCAACAGAACCTTCCACATGGTTCTACAATCAGCAGTGGTGGACCTGGAACCGTTCAGATACCAACCTGTGGTCCACCTGGAGATGCAGCTCAGGACTCTCACACCAGAACCGGATCTATTATGCCATTTAGTTCTGCTCAGCCCGACCCAGATGTTGGAGCTGAGGAGCTCCGGAACGGCTGAAGGTTCTGAAGGTTCTGGAGGTTCTGTCCTGGAAGCAGCTCTGATGGGCTCAGATTCCAGGCCGGAGCTTTAGAACCTCCTCAGGACCTTTGGGCTGTAAATGTGGAGCAGAACTGGTTCTGATCAGGTTTGGGTCGGGGACTTCCCGGTCCGCTCTGAGTGGAAACATGTACAATGATGTGTCTCTAGAACAATAAAGGTGTTTATGTGGGTTCTGGTGTCGGTGTCCCAGTCGGACCATAATCAGTTTTCTCCTTCAGATCTTCAGAAGCATCGACTCCTCCAAGCGTTTCCTCAGTGACACTAGAGGGCGCCATGCTGAATGATTCCATTCAGACATGTCTGACATCTAAGACCTGCAGAGTTTCATCCTGACCGGAGACATGATCAGTGGGACAAGCTGGACAAACTCTGTCCCTCGTTTCAAAGCGTGTCCCAGAGGGGAGCAGCACTGACCCAGGTCACTGGAAAGGTCCTGAATTATGTCTCAGCTTTGAGGCGTCCAACCAGAACATTGTCCAACATCCACCACCTGTCTCTGTAGTCCTGCACATCTGGAACCGTCTGATTCTTCAGTTGCCATAGTGACCAGTTTAGGCCTTTAGTTTGTCCTGGTCAGACTGGGTGGTCTCTGTAAAGACCTACATGTTCTGGAGTACAAATAACTGAACTCTGGTCCATTTCTAAGATGACTTAATCATTGATATGAAAACCCGGTGGGCCTGCACCCGATGAGGCGGTCTGGGACGGGACCAGAACAGCTTAGGCAGAACGTATGGATGCAAAAACTGGAGCCTCTCCACCAGCAGGGATGAGGAGAGGCGGCCATCTTTGTTTAATGACTGGGCCACAGCTGCCAGGCCGTGATGATCAAACCAACTGAAAGGGGCTCCGTGCACGTCCAGGCAGGGGGCCCCGTGCACGTCCAGGCAGGGGCTCCGTGCACGTCCAGGCAGGGGGCTCCGTGCATGTCTAGGCAGGGGGCTACGTGCACATCCAGGTACGGGGCCCGTGCACGTCCAGGCAGGGGCCCGTGCATGTCTAGGCAGGGGGCTACGTGCACATCCAGGTAGGGGCTCCATGCACGTCCAGGCAGGGGGCCCCGTGCACGTCCAGGCAGGGGGCCCCGTGCACGTGCATGCAGGGGCCCGTGCACGTCCAGGCAGGGGCTCCCGTGCACGTCCAGGCAGGGAGCCCCGTGCACGTCCAGGTAGGGGGCCCGTGCACGTCCAGGCAGGGGCCCGTGCACGTCCAGGCAGGGGCTCCCGTGCACGTCCAGGCAGGGAGCCCCGTGCACGTCCAGGTAGGGGGCCCGTGCACGTCCAGGCAGGGGCTCCGTGCACGTCCAGGCAGGGGCCCTTGTATCGAGGGGGACCAAAACCAGTGTGGCTTCAGTCTCCAGTGACCTCACCGAACCAACAGAACATCCATATTTACCAAATAAATCAATGAAAGCAGAGTAGATTCATCATAACGCTATAAACACATTTCTACATGCATGTTGGTTCTTCATAATATAGATCTATATAGTTTACTGTTGACGTCATCAAGTTGGTGAAATCATCCCAGAGTATTCCTGATCCTCTTATGGAAGTTTAGAATTGAACTGCTTGTTATTTTGACAAGTATGGAAGCAGCGGATCGCCTGGATGGAGTGGCCACTGATTGGCCCCCTTCTAGCTCCGCCCCTTTTCACCTGAGGAAACATCTGCTTTTGTTCAGCCGCTCTGACCTTCCCTACCAGGATCCCTGATTGAAGAACGTTCTTCTGTGCTGCTGCTCACCGAGCAGCGTCCCTCAGAATATCACCTGCTCATTTACCTGTAGAGAGAGAACTAACAAAAAAAAACCTTTGCTGAAACCCAAAGATCTCATCCGGCCTTTATTTTGAAATGTACTCTAAGGGGAAGTGACGTCAGTTGGAGCGGCGCTGTGTTCCGGGCTGTACACAGATGCTTCTGTCCGAGGAACATTGTTTGGGTTTTATGTGCGGTTCGGTCAGAGGAAAGAAAGAAGCAGCACAGAAGAAGCTCCAGGAATCCCAGACAAGAACCTGAGCGCAGGCAGAGGGAAGCTGCATGGCAGCGGCGGTTACTGCGGTAAGAACCGCGACGGATTAATGCTAAGCTAATGCTAACAGGCCACAAGCTATGGAAGCTGCTCTGATATAGCCTGATGGGCCGATCCGATGACAGAACCGTTCATCAGTGACCCGATTAGAGGGAACGGGTCAGAGAACCGTTCATCAGTGACCCGAGTAGAGGGAACGGGTCAGAGAACCCTTCATCGGTTACCTGATTAAAGGGTGTGGGTCAGAGGACCGTACATCGGTGACCCGATTAGAGTCAACGGGTCAGAGGACCATTCATCGGTGACCCGATTAGAGGGAACGGGTCAGAGAACCGTTCATCAGTGACCCGAGTAGAGGGAACGGGTCAGAGAACCCTTCATCGGTTACCTGATTAAAGGGTGTGGGTCAGAGGACCGTACATCGGTGACCCGATTAGAGTCAACGGGTCAGAGGACCATTCATCGGTGACCCGATTAGAGGGAACGGGTCAGAGGACCGTACATCAGTGACCCGATTACAGTCAACGGGTGAGAGAACCCTTCATCGGTTACCCGATTAAAGGATGCGGGTCAGAGAACCCTTCATCGGTTACCTGATTAGAGGGAACGGGTCAGAGGACCGTACATCGGTGACCCGATTAGAGTCAACGGGTGAGAGAACCCTTCATCGGTTACCCGATTAAAGGGTGCGGGTCAGAGGACCGTACATCGGTGACCCGATTACAGTCAACGGGTGAGAGAACCCTTCATCGGTTACCCGATTAAAGGGTGCGGGTCAGAGGACCATACATCGGTGACCTGATTAGAGGGAACGGGTCAGAGAACCCTTCATCGGTGACCTGATTAGAGGGAACGGGTCAGAGGACCGTACATCGGTGACCTGATTAGAGGGAACGGGTCAGAGAACCCTTCATCGGTTACCTGATTAGAGGGTGCGGGTCAGAGGACCGTACATCGGTGACCTGATTAGAGGGAACGGGTCAGAGAACCCTTCATCGGTTACCTGATTAGAGGGTGCGGGTCAGAGGACCGTACATCGGTGACCCGATTAGAGTCAACGGGTCAGAGGACCATTCATCGGTGACCCGATTAGAGGGAACGGGTCAGAGGACCGTACATCGGTGACCCGATTAGAGGGAACGGGTCAGAGAACCCTTCATCGGTTACCTGATTAGAGGGTGCGGGTCAGAGGACCGTACATCGGTGACCCGATTAGAGTCAACGGGTCAGAGGACCATTCATCGGTGACCCGATTAGAGGGAACAGGTCAGAGGACCGTACATCGGTGACCCGATTAGAGGGAACGGGTCAGAGAACCCTTCATCGGTTACCTGATTAGAGGGTGCGGGTCAGAGGACCGTACATCGGTGACCCGATTAGAGTCAACGGGTCAGAGAACCCTTCATCGGTTACCTGATTAGAGGGTGCGGGTCAGAGGACCATTCATCGGTGACCCGATTAGAGGGAACGGGTCAGAGGACCGTACATCGGTGACCCGATTAGAGGGAACGGGTCAGAGAACCCTTCATCGGTTACCTGATTAGAGGGTGTTGGTCAGAGGACCGTACATCGGTGACCCGATTAGAGGGAACGGGTCAGAGGACCGTACATCGGTGACCCGATTAGAGGGTGCAGGTCAGAGGACCGTACATCGGTGACCCGATTAGAGGGAACGGGTCAGAGAACCCTTCATCGGTTACCTGATTAGAGGGTGCGGGTCAGAGGACCGTACATCGGTGACCCGATTAGAGTCAACGGGTCAGAGGACCATTCATCTGTGACCCGATTAGAGGGAACAGGTCAGAGGACCGTACATCGGTGACCCGATTAGAGGGAACGGGTCAGAGAACCCTTCATCGGTTACCTGATTAGAGGGTGCGGGTCAGAGGACCGTACATCGGTGACCCGATTAGAGTCAACGGGTGAGAGAACCCTTCATCGGTTACCTGATTAGAGGGTGTGGGTCAGAGGACCGTACATCGGTGACCCGATTAGAGTCAACGGGTCAGAGGACCATTCATCGGTGACCCGATTAGAGGGAACGGGTCAGAGGACCGTACATCAGTGACCCGATTACAGTCAACGGGTAAGAGAACCCTTCATCGGTTACCTGATTAGAGGGTGCGGGTCAGAGGACCGTACATCGGTGACCCGATTAGAGTCAACGGGTGAGAGAACCCTTCATCGGTTACCCGATTAAAGGGTGCGGGTCAGAGGACCGTACATCGGTGACCCGATTACAGTCAACGGGTGAGAGAACCCTTCATCGGTTACCCGATTAAAGGGTGCGGGTCAGAGGACCATACATCGGTGACCTGATTAGAGGGAACGGGTCAGAGAACCCTTCATCGGTGACCTGATTAGAGGGAACGGGTCAGAGGACCGTACATCGGTGACCTGATTAGAGGGAACGGGTCAGAGAACCCTTCATCGGTTACCTGATTAGAGGGTGCGGGTCAGAGGACCGTACATCGGTGACCTGATTAGAGGGAACGGGTCAGAGAACCCTTCATCGGTTACCTGATTAGAGGGTGCGGGTCAGAGGACCGTACATCGGTGACCCGATTAGAGTCAACGGGTCAGAGGACCATTCATCGGTGACCCGATTAGAGGGAACGGGTCAGAGGACCGTACATCGGTGACCCGATTAGAGGGAACGGGTCAGAGAACCCTTCATCGGTTACCTGATTAGAGGGTGCGGGTCAGAGGACCGTACATCGGTGACCCGATTAGAGTCAACGGGTCAGAGGACCATTCATCGGTGACCCGATTAGAGGGAACAGGTCAGAGGACCGTACATCGGTGACCCGATTAGAGGGAACGGGTCAGAGAACCCTTCATCGGTTACCTGATTAGAGGGTGCGGGTCAGAGGACCGTACATCGGTGACCCGATTAGAGTCAACGGGTCAGAGAACCCTTCATCGGTTACCTGATTAGAGGGTGCGGGTCAGAGGACCATTCATCGGTGACCCGATTAGAGGGAACGGGTCAGAGGACCGTACATCGGTGACCCGATTAGAGGGAACGGGTCAGAGAACCCTTCATCGGTTACCTGATTAGAGGGTGTTGGTCAGAGGACCGTACATCGGTGACCCGATTAGAGGGAACGGGTCAGAGGACCGTACATCGGTGACCCGATTAGAGGGAACAGGTCAGAGGACCGTACATCGGTGACCCGATTAGAGGGAACGGGTCAGAGAACCCTTCATCGGTTACCTGATTAGAGGGTGCGGGTCAGAGGACCGTACATCGGTGACCCGATTAGAGTCAACGGGTCAGAGGACCATTCATCTGTGACCCGATTAGAGGGAACAGGTCAGAGGACCGTACATCGGTGACCCGATTAGAGGGAACGGGTCAGAGAACCCTTCATCGGTTACCTGATTAGAGGGTGCGGGTCAGAGGACCGTACATCGGTGACCCGATTAGAATCAACGGGTCAGAGACCATTCATCGGTGACCCGATTAGAGGGAACGGGTCAGAGGACCGTACATCGGTGACCCGATTAGAGGGAACGGGTCAGAGAACCCTTCATCGGTTACCTGATTAGAGGGTGCGGGTCAGAGGACCGTACATCGGTGACCCGATTAGAGTCAACGGGTCAGAGGACCATTCATCGGTGACCCGATTAGAGGGAACGGGTCAGAGGATCGTACATCGGTGACCCGATTAGAGTCAACGGGTGAGAGAACCCTTCATCGGTTACCCGATTAAAGGATGCGGGTCAGAGGACCGTACATCAGTGACCCGATTACAGTCAACGGGTGAGAGAACCCTTCATCGGTTACCCAATTAAAGGATGCGGGTCAGAGAACCCTTCATCGGTTACCTGATTAGAGGGAACGGGTCAGAGGACCCTACATCGGTGACCCGATTATAGTCAACGGGTGAGAGAACCCTTCATCGGTTACCCGATTAAAGGGTGCGGGTCAGAGGACCATACATCGGTGACCTGATTAGAGTCAACGGGTCAGAGAACCCTTCATCGGTTACCTGATTAGAGGGTGCGGGTCAGAGGACCGTACATCGGTGACCCGATTAGAGGGAACGGGTGAGAGAACCCTTCATCGGTTACCTGATTAGAGGGTGTTGGTCAGAGGACCGTACATCGGTGACCCGATTAGAGGGAACGGGTCAGAGAACCCTTCATCGGTTACCTGATTAGAGGGTGTTGGTCAGAGGACCGTACATCGGTGACCCGATTAGAGGGAACGGGTCAGAGAACCCTTCATCGGTTACCTGATTAGAGGGTGTTGGTCAGAGGACCGTACATCGGTGACCCGATTAGAGTCAACGGGTCAGGGGACCATTCATCGGTGACCCGATTAGAGGGAACGGGTCAGAGGACCGTACATCGGTGACCCGATTAGAGGGAACGGGTCAGAGAACCCTTCATCGGTTACCTGATTAGAGGGTGCGGGTCAGAGGACCGTACATCGGTGACCCGATTAGAGTCAACGGGTCAGAGGACCATTCATCGGTGACCCGATTAGAGGGAACGGGTCAGAGGACCGTACATCAGTGACCCGATTACAGTCAACGGGTGAGAGAACCCTTCATCGGTTACCCGATTAAAGGATGCGGGTCAGAGAACCCTTCATCGGTTACCTGATTAGAGGGAACGGGTCAGAGGACCGTACATCGGTGACCCGATTAGAGTCAACGGGTGAGAGAACACTTCATCGGTTACCTGATTAAAGGGTGCGGGTCAGAGGACCGTACATCGGTGACCCGATTAGAGTCAACGGGTGAGAGAACCCTTCATCGGTTACCCGATTAAAGGGTGCGGGTCAGAGGACCGTACATCGGTGACCTGATTAGAGGGAACGGGTCAGAGAACCCTTCATCGGTTACCTGATTAGAGGGTGTGGGTCAGAGGACCGTACATCGGTGACCCGATTAGAGGGAACGGGTGAGAGAACCCTTCATCGGTTACCTGATTAGAGGGTGCGGGTCAGAGGACCGTACATCGGTGACCCGATTAGAGTCAACGGGTCAGAGAACCCTTCATCGGTTACCTGATTAGAGGGTGCGGGTCAGAGGACCGTACATCGGTGACCTGATTAGAGTCAACGGGTCAGAGAACCCTTCATCGGTTACCCGATTAGAGGGTACGGGTCAGAGGACCGTACATCGGTGACCCGATTAGAGTCAACTGGTCAGAGAACCCTTCATCGGTTACCTGATTAGAGGGTGCGGGTCAGAGGACCGTACATCGGTGACCCGATTAGAGTCAACGGGTGAGAGAACCCTTCATCGGTTACACGATTAAAGGGTGCGGGTCAGAGGACCGTACATCGGTGACCCGATTACAGTCAACGGGTCAGAGGACCATTCATCGGTGACCCAATTAGAGGGAACGGGTCAGAGAACCGTTCATCGGTTACCCGATTAAAGGGAACGGGTCAGAGAACCGTTGCTCGGGGACCCGATTAGAGTCAACAGGTCAGAGGACCATTCATCGGTGACCCGATTAGAGGGAACGGGTTGGGGAACCGTTCATCGGTGACCCGATTAGAATCAACGGGTCAGAGGACCATTCATCTGTGACCTGATTAGAGTCAACGGGTCAGAGGACTGATCATCGATGACCCGATTTGAGGGAACGGATCAAAGAATCGTTCATCAGTGACCCGATTAGAGGGAAGGGGTCAGACAACCCTTATTGGTTAACTGATTAGAGGGTGCGGGTCAGAGGACCGTACATCAGTGACCCGATTAGAGTCAATGGGTCAGAGGGCCCTTTATCGGTTACCAGATTAAAGGGAACAGGTCAGAGGACCGTACATCGGTTTCAGATCAGTCAACGGGTCAGAGAACCCTTCATCGGTTACCTGATTAGAGGGTGTTGGTCAGAGGACCGTACATCGGTGACCCGATTAGAGGGAACGGGTCAGAGAACCCTTCATCGGTTACCTGATTAGAGGGTGTTGGTCAGAGGACCGTACATCGGTGACCCGATTAGAGGGAACGGGTCAGAGAACCCTTCATCGGTTACCTGATTAGAGGGTGTTGGTCAGAGGACCGTACATCGGTGACCCGATTAGAGTCAACGGGTCAGGGGACCATTCATCGGTGACCCGATTAGAGGGAACGGGTCAGAGGACCGTACATCGGTGACCCGATTAGAGGGAACGGGTCAGAGAACCCTTCATCGGTTACCTGATTAGAGGGTGCGGGTCAGAGGACCGTACATCGGTGACCCGATTAGAGTCAACGGGTCAGAGGACCATTCATCGGTGACCCGATTAGAGGGAACGGGTCAGAGGACCGTACATCAGTGACCCGATTACAGTCAACGGGTGAGAGAACCCTTCATCGGTTACCCGATTAAAGGATGCGGGTCAGAGAACCCTTCATCGGTTACCTGATTAGAGGGAACGGGTCAGAGGACCGTACATCGGTGACCCGATTAGAGTCAACGGGTGAGAGAACACTTCATCGGTTACCTGATTAAAGGGTGCGGGTCAGAGGACCGTACATCGGTGACCCGATTAGAGTCAACGGGTGAGAGAACCCTTCATCGGTTACCCGATTAAAGGGTGCGGGTCAGAGGACCGTACATCGGTGACCTGATTAGAGGGAACGGGTCAGAGAACCCTTCATCGGTTACCTGATTAGAGGGTGTGGGTCAGAGGACCGTACATCGGTGACCCGATTAGAGGGAACGGGTGAGAGAACCCTTCATCGGTTACCTGATTAGAGGGTGCGGGTCAGAGGACCGTACATCGGTGACCCGATTAGAGTCAACGGGTCAGAGAACCCTTCATCGGTTACCTGATTAGAGGGTGCGGGTCAGAGGACCGTACATCGGTGACCTGATTAGAGTCAACGGGTCAGAGAACCCTTCATCGGTTACCCGATTAGAGGGTACGGGTCAGAGGACCGTACATCGGTGACCCGATTAGAGTCAACTGGTCAGAGAACCCTTCATCGGTTACCTGATTAGAGGGAACGGGTCAGAGAACCGTTCATCGGTTACCCGATTAAAGGGAACGGGTCAGAGAACCGTTGCTCGGGGACCCGATTAGAGTCAACAGGTCAGAGGACCATTCATCGGTGACCCGATTAGAGGGAACGGGTTGGGGAACCGTTCATCGGTGACCCGATTAGAATCAACGGGTCAGAGGACCATTCATCTGTGACCTGATTAGAGTCAACGGGTCAGAGGACTGATCATCGATGACCCGATTTGAGGGAACGGATCAAAGAATCGTTCATCAGTGACCCGATTAGAGGGAAGGGGTCAGACAACCCTTATTGGTTAACTGATTAGAGGGTGCGGGTCAGAGGACCGTACATCAGTGACCCGATTAGAGTCAATGGGTCAGAGGGCCCTTTATCGGTTACCAGATTAAAGGGAACAGGTCAGAGGACCGTACATCGGTTTCAGATCAGTCAACGGGTCAGAGAACCCTTAATCTTTTACCGGATTAGAGAGTGCGGGTCAAAGGACCGCACATCGGTGACCCCATTAGAGTCAAGGGGTCAGATAACCGTTCATTTGTGACTTGATTAGAGGGAACGGATCAGGGAACCGTTCATCGGTGACCAGATTAAAAGGAACGGGTCAGAGGACAGTTCAGCGGTGACCCGATTAGAGTCAACGGGTCAGAAAACCCTTCATCGGTGACCCGATAAGAGTCAACGGGTCAGCGGATCATTCATCGGTGACCCGATTAGAGGGAACGGGTCAGGGAACCCTTCATCGGTGACCCGATTAGAGTAAACGGGTCAGGGAACCGTTCATCGGTGACCCGATTAGAGTCAATGGGTCAGAGAACCCTTCATCGGTGACCCGATAAGAGTCAATGGGTCAGAGGATCATTCATCGGTGACCCGATTAGAGGGAACGGGTCAGGGAATCCTTCATCGGTGACCCGATTAGAGTCAACGGGTCAGGGAACCGTTCATTGGTGACCCGATTAGAGTCAATGGGTCAGAGAACCCTTCATCTGTGACCCGATTAGAGTCAATGGGTCAGAGAACCCTTCATCGGTTACCCGATTAAAGGGAACGGGTCAGAGGACCGTACATAGGTGACCCAATCAGAGTCAGCGGGTCAGAGAACCCTTCATCGGTGACCCGATTAGAGGGAACGGGTCAGAGGACCGTACATCGGTGACCCGATTAGAGTCAACGGGTCAGAGGACCGTTCATCGGTTACCCGATTAGAGTCAACGGGTCAGAAAACCCTTCATCGGTTACCCGATTAGAGTCAACGGGTCAGAGAAACGTTCATTGGTGACCCGAACTGTTGACAAATCAGTTCCTTATCTGCAGATCACGTTCTTGAGTTCAGGTCCGATTCTGATGTCTGTTCAATCCAGACTTGCTAACCTATAGTGGAACATTTCTGCCTTCTCTTTAGGGAGGGCCGTCTCTCATCATGGAGAACGGACAGACCGCTCTCTCCACCCCCACCCCCAATGCTACAACCACGTCCACCACTAAGCTGGGGCTTCCTCCACTGACTCCCAACCAGCAGGAGGCGCTGCAGAAGGTCAGTCAGCAGCCGTTCACTGCTAAATGAAGAGCTGTGTGTTAAACTGATGAATCAGCCGGAACCTGCGGCCCACAGACGGCTTTCAGCCTGTCAACCTTTGCAACAGTTTTAACCCGTAGTCACACCGTTTGAACATTTGGAGCATGTATCAGTGTATTTGGAACATTTACATCAGTTCTGTAACCTGTAGTGGTGAATTTGGAACCTTTAGAACAGTTATGGAACCTGTAATGGTGTATTTGGAACCTGTAAAACAGTTCCGGAACCTGTAGCGGTGTATTTGGAACCTTTACATCAGTTCCGTAACCTGTAGCTGTGTATTGGGAGCCTTTAAACCAGTTCCGGAGGCTGTAACGATGTATTTGGAACGTGTAGAACAGTTCTGGAACCTGTAGCGGTGTATTTGGAACCTGTAGAACAGTTCTGGAACCTGTAGCGGTGTATTTGGAGCCTGTAGAACAGTTCCAGAGCCTGTAGCGGTGTATTTGGAACCTTTAGAACAGTTCCGGAGCCTGTAGCAGTGTATTTGGAACCTTTAGAACAGTTCCGGAGCCTGTAGCAGTGTATTTGGAACCTTTAGAACAGTTCTGGAGCCTGTAGCAGTGTATTTGGAGCCTTAGAACAGTTATTGAACCTGTAGCGGTGTATTTGGAACCTGTAGAACAGTTATTGAACCTGTAGCGGTGTATTTGGAACCTGTAGAACAGTTATTGAACCTGTAGCGATGTATTTGGAACCTGTAGAACAGTTATTGAACCTGTAGCAGTGTATTTGGAACCTTTACATCAGTTCCGTAACCTGTAGCTGTGTATTGGGAGCCTTTAGACCAGTTCCGGAGGCTGTAACGATGTATTTGGAACGTGTAGAACAGTTCTGGAACCTGTAGCGGTGTATTTGGAACCTGTAGAACAGTTCTGGAGCCTGTAGCAGTGTATTTGGAACCTTTAGAACAGTTCCGGAGCCTGTAGCAGTGTATTCGGAACCTTTAGAACAGTTCCGGAGCCTGTAGCAGTGTATTCGGAACCTTTAGAACAGTTCCGGAGCCTGTAGCAGTGTATTTGGAACCTGTAGAACAGTTCCGGAACCTGTAGCTGTGTATTGGGAGCCTGTAGACCAGTTCCGGAGCCTGTAATGATGTATTGGGAGCCTGTAGACCAGTTCCGGAGCCTGTAACGATGTATTTGGAACTTTTAGAACAGTTCTGGAACCTGTAGCTGTGTATTTGGAGCCTGTAGAACAGTTCCGGAGCCTGTAGTGGTGTATTTGGAACCTTTAGAACAGTTCCAGAGCCTGTAGCAGTGTATTTAGAATCTTTAGAACAGTTCCGGAGCCTGTAGCAGTGTATTTGGAACCTTTAGAACAGTTCCGGAGCCTTTAGCGGTGTATTTGGAACCTTTAGAACAGTTCCTGAGCCTGTAGCACTGTATTTGGAACCTTTAGAACAGTTCCGGAGCCTGTAGCACTGTATTTGGAACCTTTAGAACAGTTCCGGAGCCTGTAGCAGTGTATTTAGAATCTTTAGAACAGTTCCGGAGCCTGTAGCAGTGTATTTGGAGCCTGTAGAACAGTTCCGGAGCCTGTAGCAGTGTATTCGGAACTTGTAGAACAGTTCCGGAGCCTGTAGAAGTGTATTTGGAACCTGTAGAACAGTTCTGGAACTTGTAGCGGTATATTTGGAACCTGTAGCAGTGTATTTGGAACCTGTAGAACAGTTCCGGCGCGTGTAGCGGTGTATTTGGAACCTTTAGAACAGTTATTGAACCTGTAGCGGTGTATTTGGAACCTGTAGAACATTTATGGAACCTGTAGCAGTGTATTTGGAACCTGTAGAACAGTTATGGAACCCTTAGCGGTGTATTTGGAACCTGTAGAACAGTTATGGAGCTTGTAGCACTGTATTTGGAACCTGTAGAACAGTTATGGAACCCGTAGCGGTGTATTTGCAACCTGTAGAACAGTTATGGAACCCGTAGCGGTGTATTTGGAACCAGTAGAACAGTTATGGAACCCGTAGCGGTGTATTTGCAACCTGTAGAACAGTTATGGAACCCGTAGCGGTGTATTTGGAACCAGTAGAACAGTTATGGAACCCGTAGCGGTGTATTTGGAACCTGTAGAACAGTTATGGAGCCTGTAGCGGTGTATTTGGAACCTGTAGAACAGTTATGGAGCCTGTTGCAGTGTATTTGGAACCTGTAGAACAGTTATGGAACTTTTAGCGGTGTATTTGGAACCTTTAGAACAGTTATTGAACCAGTAGTGGTGTATTTGGAACCTGTAGAACAGTTATGGAGCTTGTAGCAGTGTATTTGGAACCTGTAGAACAGTTATGGAACCCGTAGCGGTGTATTTGGAACCTGTAGAACAGTTATGGAACCTTTAGCGGTGTATTTGGAACCTGTAGAACAGTTATGGAGCTTGTAGCAGTGTATTTGGAACCTGTAGAACAGTTATGGAACCCGTAGCGGTGTATTTGGAACCTGTAGAACAGTTATGGAACCCGTAGCGGTGTATTTGGAACCAGTAGAACAGTTATGGAACCCGTAGCGGTGTATTTGGAACCTGTAGAACAGTTATTGAACCTGTAGCTGTATATTTGGAACCTGTAGAACAGTTATGGAGCCTGTTGCAGTGTATTTGGAACCTGTAGAACAGTTATGGAACCTTTAGCGGTGTATTTGGAACCTTTAGAACAGTTATTGAACCTGTAGTGGTGTATTTGGAACCTGTAGAACAGTTATGGAACCTTTAGCGGTGTATTTGGAACCTGTAGAACAGTTATGGAACCTTTAGCGGTGTATTTGGAACCTCTAGAACAGTTATGGAACCTGTAGCGGTGTATTTGGAACCTGTAGAACAGTTATGGAACCCGTAGCGGTGTATTTGGAACCTGTAGAACAGTTATGGAACCTTTAGCGGTGTATTTGGAACCTTTAGAACAGTTATTGAACCTGTAGCGGTGTATTTGGAACCAGTAGAACTGCTGGAACCTGTGGAACCTTTAGTGAAGTGTTGGATCAGTTCAGTCTCTGGCCCTTCTGTTCCACCATGGACTGCAGAACATCAGGCAGCTCTGGAATGGTGCTGTGTTCTCAGAATGTTCTGTGTTTTCTCTGTAGGCCAAGAAGTATGCAATGGAGCAGAGCATCAAGAGTGTTCTGGTAAAACAGACGCTTGTGCAGCAGCAGCAGCTCACCAGCTTACAGGTACCAGCCGATAATGCAGCAGGTCACCATGTCAGGGAACCCTGCGGTCTCACAGACGTCTGTTCTTGTCTTCCAGATGGCTCCTCTGACCATGGGTTTAGGAGATGCTCTGTCTCCTCTGCAGTCGGTACGTATTGCGCCCATAGGGGAACATCCAAATCCAGTTCAGTTCAAACCAACCGACTGTAGACCAGAATTAAACCAGACATTAAAACCAAGAACTCAGCTGATTCTTGAGGGGAAGAAACAAACAACTAATGTTGTGTTGGAGACCAAGGGGAAAAGGACCTTCTTATCCAAGGAGACGCGTTTCACAGCTGCCGCAGCAACATGCCTCGGGACAGCCAGCAGGAGGCTGAGAGCAGGCTTAGAACAGGCCGAGAGCAGGCTTAGAACAGGCCGAGAGCAGGCTTAGAACAGGCCGAGAGCAGGCTTAGAAAAGGCCGAGCGAAAGCTTAGAACAGGCAGAGAGCAGGCTTAGAACAGGCCAAGAGCAGGCTTAGAACAGGCTTAGAACAGGCTTAGAGCAGGCTTAGAACAGGCTTAGAACAGGCTTAGAGCAGGCTTAGAGCAGGCTTAGAACAGGCTGAGAGCAGGCTTAGAACAGGCTGAGAGCAGGCTTAGAACAGGCTGAGAGCAGGCTTAGAACAGGCTGAGAGCAGGCTTAAAAAATGCAGAGAGGAGGCTTAGAACACAGGCTGAGAGCCGGCTTAGAAAAGGTTTAGAGCAGGCCGAGAGCCGGCTTAGAAAAGGTTTAGAACAGGCCGAGAGCAGGCTTAGAACAGGCTTAGAACAGACCCGAGAGAAAGCTTAGAACAAGCAGAGAGCAGGCTTAAAACAGGCCAAGAGCAAACTTAGAGCAGGCTTAAAACAGGCCGAGAGCAGGCTTAGAACAGGCCGAGAGCAGGCTTAGAACAGGCCGAGCGAAAGCTTAGAACAGGCCAAGAGCAGGCTAAGAACAGGCTGAGAGCAGGCTTAAAAAATGCAGAGAGGAGGCTTAGAACATAGGCTGAGAGCCGGCTTAGAAAAGGTTTAGAACAGGCCGAGAGCAGGCTTAGAACAGGCTTAGAACAGACCCAAGAGAAAGCTTAGAACAAGCAGAGAGCAGGCTTAGAACAGGCCAAGAGCAAACTTAGAGCAGGCTTAGAACAGGCCGAGAGCAGGCTTAGAACAGGCCGAGAGCAGGCTTAGAACAGGCCGAGAGCAGGCTTAGAACAGGCTTAGGACAGGCTTAGAACAGGCAAAGAGCAGGCTAAGCGCAGGCTTAGAGCAGGCTTAAAACAGGTTGAGAGCAGGCTTAAAAAAGGCAGAGAGGAGGCTTAGAACACAGGCTGAGAGCCGGCTTAGAAAAGGCTTAGAACAGGCTTAGAATAGGCCCGAGAGAAAGCTTAGAACAAGCAGAGAGCAGGCTTAGAACAGGCCGAGAGCAGGCTTAGAAGAGGCTTAGAACAGGCCGAGAGCAGGGTAAAAAAAGGCTGAGAGGAGGCTTAGAACACAGGCTGAGAGCCGGCTTAGAAAAGGCTTAGAACAGGCAGAGAGCAGGCCTAGAACAGGCTTAGGACAGGCTTAGAACAGGCCCGAGAGAAAGCTTAGAACAAGCAGAGAGCAGGCTTAGAACAGGCCAAGAGCAGGCTTAGAATAGGCCTAGAGCAGGCTTAGCACAGGCCGAGAGCAGGCTTAGAACAGGCTTAGAGCCGGCTTAGAATAGGTCAAGAACAGGCTTAGAACAGGCCGAGAGCAGGCTTAGAGCAAGCTTACAACAGGCCCGAGAGAAGGCTTAGAACAAGCAGAGAGCAGGCTTAGAGCAGGCTTAGAACAGGCCGAGAGCAGGCTTAGAACACAGGCCGAGAGCAGGCTTAGAACACAGGCAGAGAGCAGGCTTAGAGCAGTCCGAGAGCAGGCTTAGAGCAGTCCGAGAGCAGGCTTAGAGCAGTCCGTGAGCAGGCCCGGAAAAGGGCCCAGAACAGGCCGGGAGTTACCTAGAGAGCCGTGCTGTAGTCTAGATGGGTTACTTTTTTACACTAGGACTTCCAGAATTCTGATCCTAGAGCTCCCACTGTCCGTCAGTTTGACAGGTGACATTTTTCCCATTGGAACGCATGAGTAGTGGTGATGTCATCGACTGAAATGGTGAATCATAATCATAATCATCATCTAGGGAATCATATAAACCTATTGTGGATATGTAGACAATAAGGAAAATAGGACAATATTAAAAAATAGGTCTAATATACATTCTTTAAAGGCTGTACTATAGGGTTTTGTGTTCTAAATTTGTATTAAAATAAATCAGTAAAATAAATCGGACTGTTTTATTACACAGGTTGAAAGTTTGGAATTGCTATTTTATTTACAGAAATTGATTACTTCCACTGAACATTTCCAAATTAATGACAAACATCATAGGAGTGTTTTTTAGTTTTCTTTGTCTCTCCAAAGCTGTTGTTCAGCTGCGGAGGCTGTAACCTGCATGTTGTCGGCACGCAACGTTTTACCAGTTCAAGGATAAAATCTCTGCGTGAGACGGTGACGTTCAAACAGCTCCTGAACTAAACCAAGGCGTTTATCGCTGCTATGTCCAGGAGATGGTCAAATATCAGCCACAGGCCGCCTTCACTTTTACACAATCCTCTCTAATCTGATCCGATCTATTGAATGGTAAGAGCATCAGAATGTGACCACCTAGTTTTCCTCCCAGACTACTGGGAGTGGATTCCACTTGAGGAGAGAGAGACTGTTTCTCAGTTCACAAGAACACGAGTACGGACTCGTGTCCTCTTCAAGTATGTTCTTGACAAGAACCAAGGAAAGTCTGGACTCGGGGGAGAACGGGAGCATGCAGCATAAATCTGGGTCAATTGGAACAGAAGTGTACTGATGACATCACCACATTCAAAGCTAGTTTGGAGCTGCATTTCACCTCCTGTTATTAATAGTCTTTGATCAGGGGTGACTCCATTCATCTCATCAAGTCATCGTGTTCAGATTGCACTCTGTTGATGAGATGACGAGCTTGGTGTGTGATTGCTTGGTTGGAAAGAAAACCTGAACCCTAGATAAAAATAAATTATGACTTTTTTCATTTAGTGGAGGAATAATAATGAAAACAGTCAAATAAACACAAATCAAATGAACATTTTGCCAAATTAAACAATCAAACCTCTGTCAGAGCCAGCGGTACTTCACACACACTGAGAGACGGCCGCTGCAGACGGTCTGACGTTAGCCCTGGCCACTGCAGACGGGGCGACGTTAGCCCTGGCCACTGCAGACGGGGCGACGTTAGCCCTGGCCGCTGCAGACGGGCTGACGTTAGCCCTGGCCGCTGCAGACGGGCTGACGTTAGCCCTGGCCGCTGCAGACGGGCTGACGTTAGCCCTGGCCGCTGCAGACGGGCTGACGTTAGCCCTGGCCGCTGCAGACGGGCTGACGTTAGCCCTGGCCGCTGCAGACGGGCTGACGTTAGCCCTGGCCGCTGCAGACGGGCTGACTTTAGCCCTGGCCGCTGCAGACGGGCTGACTTTAGCCCTGGCCGCTGCAGACGGGCTGACGTTAGCCCTTGCAGCTGCAGACGTTAGCCCTGGCCGCTGCAGACGGGCTGACTTTAGCCCTGGCCGATGCAGACGGTCTGACGTTAGCCCTGGCCGATGCAGACGGGCTGACGTTAGCCCTGGCCGCCACCCTGACATTGGATCATGAATTGACCAAAACTGGAAGCTAAAGACAGGAGGTTCCCTTCATTCCCAGTCCACCTGTGGGCTCCACCAGCTGCAGTAGATCTTTCTAACCTCCTGCTCCTCTTCCAGGTAGCTGCTCAGCGCCAGAGAGCCTTGGCCATCATGTGTCGGGTTTACGTGGGTTCAATCTACTACGAGCTGGGTGAGGACACCATCAGACAGGCTTTCGTCCCCTTTGGACCAATCAAAAGCATTGACATGTCCTGGGACTCCGTCACCATGAAGCACAAGGTCACACCAGAAGCAGACTTTCACAGAGCACCTGCTTTGTAATCCTCTGTGTTCCCCAGTCAGAACTTGTCTGTCTCTGCAGGGTTTTGCCTTTGTGGAGTATGAAGTACCTGAAGCGGCTCAGCTGGCGCTGGAACAGATGAACTCTGTGGTCCTTGGAGGGAGGAACATCAAGGTGAGAGCCCAGGAGTCCAGTGACCTTATCATGCACGACCCAGCAGATGCCTTAGTCCTCAACATGGCCGACCTGGTTTCGAATCCGACTTGTGGTCCTTTGCTGCATGTCTCTCCCCCTCTCTCATACCCCCTTTCCTGTCAGCCCCTAGTGCCGTAAAAACTTCAAGATTGACACATTATTTGTTCATCTTCTGAGGGGTTAAGGGAGCCTTCTCTCTGCCTGATGGCTGCTCGTTAGCAGGGGCACCTGGAACCGTGGAATTAGCAGGGAGCTGCCTTGCCCCTGGGCACACTGCCCCATGGCAAGGGAGGAGGATGAGAGTGAACCCTCAGCTTTCTGAGTTGAAGATGACAACCTCAGTCATAAACGCTGTGTGGGAACAAAAAGACATGAACTCCTGCATGTTGCCTTGCAGGTTGGGAGGCCCAGTAACATTGGCCAGGCTCAGCCAATCATTGACCAGCTGGCGGAGGAAGCTCGTGCCTTCAACAGGATCTATGTGGCTTCGGTGCACCCGGACCTCTCGGACGAAGACATCAAGAGTGTCTTCGAGGCCTTTGGGAGGATCAAGTCATGCATGTTGGCCCGCGAGCCGACCACAGGACGCCACAAAGGCTATGGCTTTATTGGTGAGCGATCTGTCTGCTGTGTTTGTCCTCGCTCTGAGCGTCAAGCCACCTCCTGACCTGAAGGAGTATGTCTTCTTGGTGCCCAGAGTTTGACAAACCTCAGTCAGCCCAGGACGCTGTGGCCTCCATGAACCTGTTTGACCTGGGGGGTCAGTATCTGCGGGTGGGGAAAGCTGTGACTCCACCCATGGCTCTCCTCACGCCGACGACTCCTGGAGGACTCCCAGCAGCAGCGGCCGTGGCTGCTGCTGCCGCTAACGCAAAGATCACAGCTCAGGTAAGCCATGTAGCTCCGCCCTTTAGCTCCACCCTTTGTGTGTGGCTTTAGTATGAGGGTGTGGCAGCGGTGGCCCTCATTTGGCTAACCTGATACATCCTAAACTGAAGCTAATGTTCGGTTCATCGGTTTGGCTTTAGGCAGACGTCGTTCCAATAGCTGTACATTCAATAACCACATTCACAAAGGAAGCAGCAGCTAACAGGAAGTCACAGTACCAACCTCAGGACATCCTACTGGGGGAGGAGTAATGTAGTTTGGGTTAGGATTGAAGGAAGTGGTCCAGAGAGCTGGTGCTTGCTCTGGCTGTCCACAGACTGAAAGACACCTGGACTCTGCTCATCATTTTCCCTATCCAACCAAGCCTACCACCTTCCCAGCGTTCTGTCAGTGGGATAAAGTAGTATGAACTGGTTCACTGTCTAGTTCTGTTTCTTCTCTACCAGACGTCCGCACACCCAGCCCTCCAGTCACATAGCAAACGTTTAAGGTGAATAATTCTTCCTGCCGAGCGGTCTGTAGTATAGATCAGCAGTCAGGAAGTTAGAGGTCACCATAATCTCCACAGATTCAGAGTATCTGCTTAGATCTGAACACCCACCGTCTTCAGTAGCACCACTACCTTAACACCACTACCTTAGCAGCAGTACCTTTTACACCACTACCTTAGCAGCAGTACCTTAAAACAACTACCTTAGCACCACTACCTTAGCAGCAGTACCTTAACACCACTACCTTAGCACCACTACCTTAGCAGCAGTACCTTAACACCACTACCTTAGCACCACTTCCTTAGCACCACTACCTTAGCATCACTACCTTCGCAGCAGTACCTTAGCACTACTACCTTAGCCCCACTAACTTAACACCACAACCTTAACGCCACTACTTTAGCACCACAACCTTAGTAGCAGTACCTTAACGCTAATACCTTAGCAGCAGTACCTTAGCATCACTACCTTAACACCACTACCTTAGCACCACTACCTTAGCAGCAGTACCTTAACGCTAATACCTTAGCATCACTACCTTAACACCACTACCTTAGCACCACTACCTTAGCAGCAGTACCTTAGCATCACTACCTTAGCATCACTACCTTAGCAGCAGTACCTTAGCACCAGTACCTTAACACCACTACCTTAGCACCACTACCTTAGCAGCAGTACCTTAACGCCACTACCTTAGCACCAATACCTTAGCAGCAGTACCTTAGCATCACTGCCTTAGCAGCAGTACCTTAACGCCACTACCTTAGCACCAATACCTTAGCAGCAGTACCTTAGCATCACTGCCTTAGCAGCAGTACCTTAACACCACCACCTTAGCAGCAGTACCTTAGCACCACTACCTTAGCAGCAGTACCTTAGCACCAGTACCTTAACACCACTACCTTAGCACCACTGCCTTAGCATCACTACCTTAACACCACTACCTTAGCACCACTACCTTAGCAGCAGTACCTTAACGCTAATACCTTAGCAGCAGTACCTTAGCATCACTACCTTAACACCACTACCTTAGCACCACTACCTTAGCAGCAGTACCTTAGCGCCACTACCTTAGCAGCAGTACCTTAGCATCACTACCTTAGCATCACTACCTTAGCAGCAGTACCTTAGCACCAGTACCTTAACACCACTACCTTAGCACCACTACCTTAGCAGCAGTACCTTAACGCCACTACCTTAGCACCAATACCTTAGCAGCAGTACCTTAGCATCACTGCCTTAGCAGCAGTACCTTAACACCACCACCTTAGCAGCAGTACCTTAGCACCACTACCTTAGCAGCAGTACCTTAGCACCAGTACCTTAACACCACTACCTTAGCACCACTACCTTAGCAGCAGTACCTTAACGCCACTACCTTAGCACCGCTACCTTAGCAGCAGTACCTTAGCATCACTGCCTTAGCAGCAGTACCTTAGGACCACTACCTTAGCACCACTACCTTAGCACCACTACCTTAGCAGCAGTACCTTAACGCTAATACCTTAGCAGCAGTACCTTAGCATCACTACCTTAACACCACTACCTTAGCACCACTACCTTAGCAGCAGTACCTTAACGCCACTACCTTAGCACCACTACCTTAGCACCACTACCTTAGCATCACTACCTTAGCAGCAGTACCTTAGGACCACTACCTTAGCACCACTACCTTAGCAGCAGTACCTTAACGCTAATACCTTAGCAGCAGTACCTTAGCATCACTACCTTAACACCACTACCTTAATACCACTACCTTAGCAGCAGTACCTTAACGCCACTACCTTAGCACCACTACCTTAGCACCACTACCTTAGCAGCAGTACCTTAGCATCACTACCTTAGCAGCAGTACCTTAGCACCACTACCTTAACACCACTACCTTAGCACCACTATCTTAGCACCACTACCTTAGCACCACTACCTTAGCAGCAGTACCTTAGCACCACTACCTTAACACCACTACCTTAGCACCACTACCTTAGCAGCAGTACCTTAGCACCACTACCTTAACACCACTACCTTAGCACCACTACCTTAGCAGCAGTACCTTAACGCCACTACCTTAGCACCACTACCTTAGCACCAGTACCTTAGCATCACTACCTTAACACCACTACCTTAGCACCACTACCTTAGCAGCAGTACCTTAATGCCACTACCTTAACACCACTACCTTAGCACCATCTTAGCAGCAGTACCTTAACGCCACTACCTTAGCAAAACTACCTTAGCACCACTACCTTAGCACCACTACCTTAGCACCACTACCTTAGCAGCAGTACCTTAGCACCACTACCTTAACACCACTACCTTAGCACCACTACCTTAGCAGCAGTACCTTAACGCCACTACCTTAGCACCACTACCTTAGCACCACTACCTTATCAGCAGTACCTTAGCATCACTGCCTTAGCAGCAGTACCTTAGCACCAGTACCTTAACGCCACAACTTTAGCACCACTACCTTAGCAGCAGATCAAGATGGCTGCGAGAGTACATCGCAAGGCTTGTGATCTCTCCAGATTCTGCAATTTTGCGGTGATTTTCTTGCTCATTTCGGGTCTTTTCGTCCAGAACAGTTGTACCCTTACATCGTACACCCGTTGTGAGCTTTTGGATATTGGTTTACCAATTTCTGACAGTTTTGTGGAGAAATCCTTCGTAAACAAAGGCGGGGGAAGAGCGGAGGACTAAGAGCTAAGCTAAAGCTAACACCACACCGGCTCTCTTTACCCATCATTTACCTTGCCAATGTAAAGTCGCTGCTGAACAAAATTGAGGAGATCCGACTCAACATTACATACAGCAAGAGACTTTTGAACTGTAATGTCATAATCTTCACGGAAACATGGCTAAACGGCGGAATACCAGACAATGCTATTGAGCTAGCGGGACACCATACATTCCAGGCTCGAACACCAGATGGCTCTGGTAAGACCAGAGGTGGAGGACTGTGCATTGATATTAACAAAGCTTGGTGCTCAAACTCTGCTTTTGTTGGGAGACATTGTTCAGCTAACCTGAAGTTTCTGATAGTTAAATGTAGACCGTTCTATCTGCCACGGGAGTTCACTTCCACCATTATCACTGCAGCCTACATTAAGAGGTTTAGAAGCCCGTCAGATAGCGTCCCCCCATGTTAAGAAGAGGGGAACGCTATCTGACCGGGTTTAGAAGCCCGTCAGCCCAACACAGTGTGGATGGATAGATGGATGTTGCAGTATCTATAACAACCCAAACACACTGGAACTTATAATTACACATCCCCAGTTATTAATTTATAACATGGAGGGAGGGAGGGAGGGAGGGAGGGAGGGAGGGAGGGAGGGAGGGAGGGAGGGAAGGAGGGAGGGAGGCATAACACTGGCACGTTTCAGTTGTTTTGATTGTATGGCGCCTCCTGCTGTCGGTTAGTCAGAATGACAATTCTCCATGTATCACGTGACTTTTGGCAGAAACTTACCGCAGAGTGTGTAGAATTGTCTCGAACGCGAGAAGAGGCTGTTTTATATGAGCAGAGATTGTTTTGTACTAGTAGACAATTTACAAATTACATTTTCAGTGCAATGTTAGCGTTAACCCTTACCCTAAAAATAATTTTTTTGTGTGTGCAACATTTAAGTTTGTAAGAGATGTTTTATTTGTGTGTGACATTAGAGGAGAGTTTGTAACACAAGTTTTATGTGTGAACAATAAGATTTATTTGAGTGCAACATGTTTATTTGTGAGTGATTTGTTGTGTGTAATATGCTTTATGCATTTGCAACATGCTTTGTGTGTGCGCGCGCTACATGCATTTTTGTACACAATGTTTTGGCAGAAAAATTACTCCATAGTGTATCATGGTTGTTGTACCCGTTGTCCTTCATCTCATCCCCCTTTCCTCTTAGGATCCAGTTGGAGCCTCTCTCCTGGGGCCCCTGGCTGGACCGGCCCTTCTCTCTCAGCAGCTGGGCCTCCCTCAGGCCGTCATGGCTGCCCAGGCCCCAGGCGTCATCACAGGTAAGAACATCCACAGATGAGTTGAGGACAGAAAGGTGGACGTGGGAGCAGCTCACCTGTCCTCAGGCCATGAAGCAGGACAGGTGAAGGTGTTCTGGTTCTGATCCGTTCTGCTTCCTGTGGCTTCCAGGTGTAACCCCGGCGCGGCCTGGTCTGCCTCAGGTGGGGCTAGTGAACCCGGTGTTGGCCACACCCCCTTCAGTGACGGCGTCTCTGGGCATCGAGCTGAAGAAGAAGGAGGAGCAGCAGCAGGAGGCGCAGCAGGACGGTGCCTCTGAGCCGCTAAGTGAACAGGAGCACATGAGCATCAGCGGCAGCAGCGCACGTCACATGGTGATGAGGAAGCTGCTCCGGAAGCAGGAGGTGAGCCCAACCCCTGAGACCAGAACTTCTGGGTCTGTTCTGCTCCTGACTGAACCCTGTGTTCCCCCCAGTCCACCGTCATGGTCCTCAGGAACATGGTGGGCCCCGACGACATTGACGACGACCTGGAGGGTGAGGTGACAGAGGAGTGCGGGAAGTTCGGCGTGGTGAAGCGGGTCATCATCTACCAGGAGCGTCAGGGGGAGGAGGACGACGCCGAGGTCATCGTTAAGATCTTCGTGGAGTTCTCTGAGGCGGTTGAGATGAACCGCGCCATCCAGGCCCTGAACAATCGCTGGTTTGGGGGGCGGAAGGTGGTGGCTGAGGTCTACGACCAGGAACGCTTTGATAACGGTGACCTTTCAGCGTAGACTTTGGATGACGCGTTCTGAAGGTGTCCATCACCATAGAACCACCTCCTTCAGATCAGAACTAACGGACTGGACCCAGCTGCTGTTTCTTCCAGAACTAGTTTCTCCTCTTGGTTTCCCTCTGACAGAACCTTTCTTAGACCCACTGGACTTCTTCAAAGCTGGCGGTCACAGGTCGGTTTTAGATCTGGGCCTTCTTGGGTTCTTGCTTCTGTTTAGAGACGAGCAGTAAACAAGCAGCTGCCACCCCAGTGGGGATGAACCACTGATCCAAAGAAGCTGCCACCCCAGTGGGGATGACCCACTGATCCAAAGCAGCTGCCATCCCATTGGGCCTTCTTTAGGTGGTTCTAGAGCTCAGCGATCTTGGTCCAGTCAGAACAACCTAAATGGATTCTCAAAACTTAATGAACAGAACCTTGTGGTGGGAAGTGTTCAGGCTGTGAAAAAAATGTCAATAAATGTTTTCCAGGTGTTTCAACAGTATGAAGCTGCTTTCTGATTGGCAGATGATTCTGTTCTTGCTCCCAGTTAAACAGTCACCACCATAACTAGAGTAGATGTTTGAGACCACTCTAACCAGTCCTTCTCTTCCAACAAGCACAGATCTAGACTTTAAGGGCAACGCTCAGCCTCCTTGCTGCTGGTCAACAGGTTATGCTGACCCACAGTACCTGAAGACCCAAAGGACCCGTTAACCCAAAGGACCCGTTAACCCAAAGGTTATGCTGACCCAAAGGACCCGTTGACCCAAAGGACCCGTTGACCCAAGGGACCCGTTGATTTAAAGGGCCCATTGATCCAAAGGTTATGCTGACCCACAGTACCTGTAGACCCAAAGGACCCGTTAACCTAAAGGACCCGTTAACCCAAAGGACCCGTTGACCCAAAGGACCCGTTGACCCAAAGGTTATGCTGACCCAAAGGACCCATTGACCCAAAGGACCCGTTAACCCAAAGGACCCGTTAACCCAAAGGACCCGTTGACCCAAAGGACCCGTTGACCCAAAGGTTATGCTGACCCAAAGGACCCGTTGACCCAAAGGACCCGTTGACCCAAAGGACCCGTTGACCCAAAGGACCCGTTGACCCAAAGGACCCGTTGACCCAAAGGACCCGTTGATTTAAAGGGCCCATTGATCCAAAGGTTATGCTGACCCACAGTACCTGTAGACCCAAAGGACCCGTTGACCCAAAGGTTATGCTGACCCAAAGGACCCGTTGACCCAAAGGACCTGTTGACCCAAAGGACCCGTTGACCCAAAGGACCCGTTGACCCAAAGGACCCGTTGACCCAAAGGACCTGTTGATTTAAAGGGCCCATTGATCCAAAGGTTATGCTGACCCACAGTACCTGTAGACCCAAAGGACCCGTTGACCTAAAGGACCCATTGACCCAAAGGTTATGCTGACCCAAAGGACCCGTTGACCCAAAGGACCCGTTGACCCAAAGGACCCGTTGACCCAAAGGACCCGTTGACCCAAAGGACCCGTTGACCCAAAGGTTATGCTGACCCAAAGGACCCGTTGACCCAAAGGACCCGTTGACCCAAAGGTTATGCTGACCCAAAGGACCCGTTGACCCAAAAGACCGGTTGACCCAAAGGACCCGTTGACCCAAAAGACTGGTTGACCCGAAGGACCCGAAGCACCCGCTGACCCAAAGGATCTGCTGACCCACAGGATCCACTGAACCAAAGGACTCGTTGGCTGTGTCTCAATTCGCAGGCTGCGTACTTGGTAGGACGCATTTTAAAGCCGGTGATGTCACAACGCTGCGCGGAGGCCGTCCCATTTGGCAAAAATTCTGAGGATGCTTAAAATGCAGCCTTAAAATGCGTCCTCCTTTTCCCCGAATTCTGAGGATGCATTGCTACCGTCCTTAGTGGCCTCGCCTCCCGCTAGATTTCCCGAGGTGCTTTGCGCGCTCTTTTTTTTTTTTTTTTTTAGTAGTTGAAGAAGAAGAAGAAGAAAGTCGGCTTTTCTTCAAATTACGGACAACCGAAAGCAGCAGCAGCGCCGACAGTAGTGCGGAGAACACCTTTAAATGTAAGTAGTTTGTTTTTTTGTTTTTTTTTATGAACATCTATTAAAATACATGACGGTAACGGAGCCACCGGGATGTGTAGGAGCAGCTAAAGCTAAAGCTAAGAGCTAACCTGTTGATACGTGATGTTCATCAACAATTAAAAGCCTTCATACAAATGTCACTATTTTTTATTTTAACCTACATCTCACTGTACTGATAGCCGTATCCCTCTCTAATCAGATCTATTTATTCTCATACAGTTTATTACAAAGTATTAGAGCTGTTAAAGCTTAATGCAGCTGAAGAAATAACATTAGTCCAGCTGTACTGGGCTGTTAATACTGCAAACGTTTTGTTTTAATACTCAATAACGTATAGTTTATTTACAGTACAGTATAATAAGGTTTAAAGTATAATTCACTTGAAGAACAATACAGGCGTAATTATACAGAGCAGTCATTTTGCCTTTTGACATAACAGAAATATGCTTTACATGTCATTTTATTCCAGGGAGCAGACAGAGGAGTGGATAAAATGACCACCTTATCATCGGGGCCAAAAATACTGCTGCAGTCGGATGGAGGGAAGAGTTGAGGCAGAATTCCATCTACATGTTGCATTTCTATGTAAAAGTCACACAAGTTAAAAGAAGTCCTGTTCAAACACCAACGTACAAATATAATCTTTTGATCACATCAAATGATGCTCAGATGCCACTTTTTGAGAATCTCATTTGTGATAGAAGTGATCCTAGTGTGGGACAACTTAAAAAAAAAATACAAAGTATGTTCAGGTTTGGATAATGTAATGAAACACACACACACCTATATATATATATATATATATATAGGTATGTGTGTGTTTGTAGGGAAATTACATCTTACATTTATTATATTCATGTTAATTTCCACTTTGAGTAAGCTTAAAAAGTAATCTCCAGGTTACCATTCCAAAGTCTTTTTCTGTAGAATTTCATCAATCGATCCAAATTATGAAACATTCCTTTTTTCTAGCTTTAAAGAAACACTACAGAAAATAGCATCTGTTGATACAAATTGTTTTCCTCTACTATAGGAATGCAAAGATCCAGGGACAGGGCAGCGGGTCAGTGGGAAGCCTACTGCTGCCACCTGGCCCTGGTTTGTCCTCATGGAGGAGGTATTAGGACAGAGGCCCTCTGTTGCCCCACCTGTCCTAATTGCCTCCATCCCTGAGGACACACCAGGGCTAGATGCTGCAGAGGCTGAGCAGCATCAGGGTGAAGATGAGGAAGAGAATGAGGATGAGAGAGGAGGGAAAGGAGGAAGAGAAGAAGGAGTGACGAGTTGGTGGATTTAATCAGGGAGGATATCAGATGTTATCAGTTATTATTTTTTTGGTGTTTTTTTTTTAACAAGTTGAGGTTCTGTGTTGCTGTTATTGTTAAATTAAATTATTGTTTATAAAAGTTATTGCTGTCGGTGTGTTCTTAAAGTATTTTAATCTTTTTACATGATCTGTTTCATCACTTCTTTATAATTTAAGTAAACTTAGAACAACATCTCAGTGACATCAGTTTATTTTTAGAGAAGCAAGTATTTAACAATAAACTATTAAAACATTTTTAACTATTGACATTAGATTTTAAAATTAACTACTACAACTATTTACAGAAGATAGAAATAAATTTTACTAGAGAACATATATATACAATTGTGACTGAGCAGGAGTCCCTGGTGGGGCTGCTGGACTGAATACGATGCCACACAGATGAGCTTGGAGTCTTCTGACTGCGAGTGGGACATCATCTGGAGGGTCGGGGGTGCCTCTCTCCACTGTTCACCACATCGTCCATCAGGGTTTGCAGGGCTGATCCAAACGATGGCTGCCATGTTACTAAAAATGTTAAAAAGATGCAGAAAAGAATGACTTTACTAAAACTGTTTTCATAACCCTGAAATAAGAACAGCTAAAATGTGATTCTACTTGCCATCTAAATGTAACGGTGGTCGGGTAGACCCTCCTCCAGGGTAGACCCTCCTCCAGGGCAGACCCTCCTCCAGGGCAGACACCTCGGCAGACAGCTGGTCCCTCCATGGAGCACCACTGACTGCCTCCTACACGTTCTCCCCCTCCTTATCCTCTGGCATGTCGTCCTCTGGGGCCGTGATGTCACCGGCTCCCAGGCAGATGTGCAGGACAGCACATGCTGTTATGACCTGTAGAAAAAATATTTACTTTTATTCAGTCATCTATCTTTTTTTCATTATCTTTATTACATGATTTATTAGAAATTAAATTTTACTTCATCTAGATCCACTATTTAACTTATTTTTTCGTTTTTATGTTTTGATTTTTTTATATATATATATAATTGCAAATAAAATCAGGCAGTAAGGGGATAACAATTTCGACAAAAAATGATTTATTTCTCAACAGTTTGGCTTCTCAACACAACATTAGTGATCGTGAAAGTAGTGATTTAAGTCAGTTATTTACAGGGTTTTTACTAGGGGTGTGCAAAATAATCGTGATGATGATGCATCGTGATTCTAATTTTCGTGATCTACTGCATCGATTCTTGATGCCAAGAATCGATTATTAATTTAAAAAAAATGAATAAATAAAATTGCATGAATGGTTGGCGAACATCAGCCAAAAACAAGTGTAATACAACTTCCAGTCCAGTAGATGTCGCTGCGGATGTGTTGACGCACGCTGCCTTGTGTCACAAGCATTTCCGGCCGCGGGATACTGTGCCGAGTCATTCAAGAACAAAACATGGAGGAGAAAATATTGCAATGCATCGCAATAATTCAAGTATCGTGATGCATCGTGATAGAATCGCATCGTGGCCTGTGAATCGTGATTCGAATCGAATCGTGACTTCTTTGGCAATACCCACCCCTAGTTTGTACACATTTAACTATTCAATTCAAATTAATAAAGTTACAAACAAATAAATTACAAACTTACAAATAAATATAAAATTTGATACTTAAACTTATTCATCAATCTGCTGACAAGCGTTTATTTAATAGCTGGTATATTCTGATCATTAGCAGGGCCCTGTGGGTTAGAATAATAGCAGGTAGATCTTACCTCTCCACTGCGCTCTGCCAGCCTGAGAAAAATCCGTCGCAGGTTTTGCTGCCGCCGAAGCCGTCAAAGCGACTCTCCTCCTCCAATAACAAGTAAATAAAAAAAATAAAAATTTCCATATCTATTTTTTTGTTGTTTCTTTCCGTATTTCTCGAGCTGTCGGATTTTGTTTCGCGCTGTGTTTGGGGTAAACGTGATGACGTCGTGTCGCAACCAGGAAGTGCTCCAAAGGCTAGACCGTCCCATTAACCAACGGCTGAGGATCCTCCGGAGCAGCCTACCAAGTCTGGGTCCTCCGGAGGCTAGGTAGGGTGCGTCCTCGGAAGTACGCAGCCTGCGAATTGAGACGCAGCCATATTGGCTCTGTTCGAAAACC